GAGGAACCACCAAGAATGGTAGAAATGACACTGACGCTAGCCAGAAGACCATGTTTGCCAAATGCCGAGGTGATGTATGGGTTCAAAGACGTTTGGATGGAAGTTATGATAGCGTCGACGAAAGAGACCATGTAAAGGCTATTGCTATTAGTGAGTTTTGTTGATGATTTATCCCAAATCCTGAGAAAACATACAGCGCAAACATAATCCATAATGTCTTCTTTGACCAGACCGAGGCGACAGCTCGAACTTGCTTGACACCTTCTTGGAAGTTGCCAGACTCATTGTCCGATCCCTTGCCGGCATCATCAGAACCTCGAGGTATCGGTTCTGTAGTGATCCCTACATTCTTCTCGAGGTCTGAGTTAGGGTCATGGTGCTCAGGCACCACTTGTGGAACGGCTGCCATTGCGATGTGGTATTGGTCACAGAGATATGATCTAATCCTTGAAGTGAAGTTGCATGAGAAGATGCACAGAAGAACCACTGCATGTGTCCATGGTTTAATAGGATTCGCTCTGGATGCCTAGACAAAGACCGCGTTGCCAACGAATTCTGAACCATCTACAAAGGTACAGTTGGATGTCACCATAATTCATTTCATGTACCAATCATATTGAAGCGATCCATCAAAGTGTGAGCGATGTGGTCCTTGCCAAGTATTGGACTGTGCGACTCCGGCGCTTGAAGACAGGGAAAATTTCGAATTTGGATATTACGCCCATCTAATTGCTTGGCAATGCCTCCCAAAAGTTCGAGACTGGCATTGTAACCATCAATCGCGTGTTGCAATAGCCAATCTTGGGCATGATCTTACGGAGTTGGACTCCGTGTAAACTAGCAAGATCTTCTAGCCAAGCCCTACCTCAAAGTCTAAGGAAACTTATCAATCTCATAGATCTCTCAGCCTTACGACTTCATTGTACATTCAAATCAAAGACAATAAAAGCTTCGATATGATTTCTTTACATTCTTGAGATGAACCCATCCGAGCTTTGATCAGCAGCCAGAAAGCGGATGAAAAACACAAATATGTAGCCATTCAAATTTATCAATCAGATAAGATTAGATAGAATTTTAGTCTAACAAAAATTCTATCCTTGGCAACACGAGTGGAGGATCCGAAAGCGCACCATCTATGGAACATAGTAAGCTTCTAGGGTGTTAAGGATGAATACCAAGACTTAGCGCCAGGCCAGACAGTCTCGGCATTACGTTACCACATATCTGATCGCCTTAAATGCTCTCGCCACCGGCATCACGCCGGAAATCCATAAGGGTCTTTTGATAGCATCGAAATGATATCCGGGGGCCAAGGTGCTAATTGATAGCCAGACCCTGAAAAGCTGAATCAAGTGCCCCGGCATACTACATCCCACTAACAGGATACCACAAAATTCCAAAGCCGAAACGAAAACATAGCCATTTTGCGGTGGTAAGTAGTGTTAAGGGCTGACTAAAGACCAGTGACAACGCCTGACTGTAAGGTCATTTGAGTACTGAAACTAGTTGAGCACCGCTCTTTCTGACTCAAATGAGACGATGCAGGACTTCGAGCTGAATCATGAATTAGAGTCCAGAAGAGGTCTAGATCAGTAAAGTTTGCGTTTGTGGAGAGGATGATCTCTATCTATGTAAGCTGCTTGCGTACCACCGACCAAAATGATATATGGTGCGTCCTCCTTAGGAACTTTGCTTAAATCCCCGAAGTTACTAGAATTGGCTTCAGTTAGAGATGTTGCTAATATGAAATCCTTTGCGGTCATTTGTAGGGATATCTGAAGCCAATATGCGGGTATGGGAACTGCCCCTTGGCTGATCTGTCCATCATGAGTCCTAATCGGGCTTGTCTTCACGTGCTCCATCATCTCTTTAATGATGAGTGGCAACGTCTTCTTTGCTAATTCCTCGACAGTGGTATGATAGTCAACGTCAAAATCGCGATATCGGCCACGACTCATGGCCAACAGACCAAACACCTTGTCCCGGAGATCACTACACTGTTTGTCGCAACAGTGCTGTAGAGCTTTAAGTATCATCGGTGCTGCTCCTAGCCGCCCACCAAGAAGAATTTTAGTCTGCTCGGCTGGCTTATAGGGTTTACTCGAGACATCGTAGTCAGGATGCCGGAGACACAGAGCCAGATCCTCATTTTGCCAATGCTGAATGTCCCATGTCGTGTCATACACGATGATGGAAGCTCGTCGCGCCAAGAAGACTTCTTGTTGGATCCACAGCCTTTGCCAATATTTGGAGGTGCTTATTTGCCAGACATCATCTACAAGATCTTGAAATTTAGGATAGAATTCTTGTGGGGTCGTCTGAGCCTCAAGCTTCTTAAAGTAGTCTCCATCTTGAAAGTCAGCGCGATTTTCGCAAAACTCCTCCCAGTCCCTAGCAAAAGCGGTTCGTCTGCTAGCAGGGCCTAGCCATACCAATACCTCGCGTGCAGAGTCATAAATCTCTCCCATCATTCGAACCTGCATGTTTTTCTCAGGAATATCTTGCTGGTTGATGCATATCGCATCGGTCCATAATTGCGTCGGGCCTCGCTTTGGAAAGAACACATTTGCACAATGTTGCAAGAAATCCCAGAGATTATCGCGAACCAACATCCAAGCACCATCAATCCATATTCTCTTGCTTGGCACGTCATCACCCCAAGTGTACGACAAAGCGCTAAAGCTATCTTTCACTTGCTCGAGTGGAGAACATCGGAGGCTCAGGGTGAGCTCCCCATTTGTATCGAAACCGATTAGGGTGAGTAACCTTATTGAGGGGACTGTAGTATCGAGAGGCTGGTACTGATGTTCCATTCTGACCCATTAATCACAAGGTATTGGGATTAGGGGCTTCAGAAAAACGATTCAAAATGAAATTTAATATCCCTTGTGCGAGGAGGAGATCAGCGAGAGGGCGTGGGGCGTATGCGAGATGTTAAAGCGATCATAAGAGGCTGAGTAAGGTATCGCTTGGAGGTATTTCGAGAACTGTACCACATTGTGCTCCGTCTTAATTACCGAGCGGCATTGGGTCATCATTTTTGAATAGAAATCACCTTCGACTACCAATGAAGCGTGAGATTCGATCAGTGCTAGGGTTAGGGTCGTGCCTTGCAATGGATCACCGTGTACCCCGTAATATTGGCCCCGCTATGGCGTGTGGATCTCTGTCACTATTCCTTTGACTCATAACGCGGGGAATAAGTCAAACAAACTCATAATCTAACTACGCAATTTTCAACAAATTCGCCTGAATTTTGCGCGACAAGCACGAAGCAGCTAGAAAAAGGCTCGTCTTCTGGAGTGGATCTATCGCTTCATGAAGTCTAGACGGTCGCTAAGATGGCGGTGACACTTTCACGTCTCGTGAGTCAACGTCGACCGGACCTACAGCCTCTGCAGGATCTTTACAAACACTTTCACCAAACCCCAGAGCTTTCAAACCAAGAGGTCGAGACAGCAAGCACAATTGCTGCAAGACTCAAAGCCATTGGCCCAGAAGACTTGGTCATCAAATCGCAAATAGGTGGCCATGGGTTGGCAGCTATATTGCGGAACGGCGATGGCCCCACTGTGCTGCTTCGAGCAGATATTGATGGCTTGCCAGTAGAAGAGCGCACAGGTCTGCCGTATGCAAGCACAAAACGCATGATTCACGCTGCGACTGGAGTTGAGAAGCCTGTAATGCATGCTTGCGGTCATGACATGCATATCGTGTGCTTATTGGGTGCAGCAGAGACACTCTTTGCGTCTCGGAAGTCTTGGGCTGGGACACTTGTGTTGGTATTTCAGCCTGCAGAGGAGCGAGGAACAGGGGCCCAAGCTATGGTGGACGATGGCCTGTATACCAGACATGAAGTTCCTATCCCGGATATCGTGTTGGGAGCTCATGTAAGAGCATATCGCGCGGGCTCCATCGGCACAGTGAGAGGTCTTGTAGCTACGAGCGCAGACAGTCTCAGGGTCACCATTTATGGTAAAGGATCTCATGCCAGCATGCCGCATACTTCCGTCGACCCAGTCGTCATTGCGGCCAGCACGATCCTGAAGTTACAGACTCTCGTGAGCCGGGAGACTGATCCAGCGGAATCCAGTGTTGTTACTGTCGCAACCGTCCATGCTGGCGATGCGGAAAATGTTATCGCGGACTCAGCCGTGCTTGGTTTGGATACTCGATCAACGACAGTGGCAACTCGAGAACGTATGTTGAACCGCATCAAGACAATCGTACAACTTGAATGCTCTTGTGCACAAGCTCCTAGGAGTCCAGAGATCGAACAGACACGCGCCTTTCCCTTGACCATCAATGATGAGGCGGTCACCAAAAGGATCGAAAACACGTTCGCAGCACATTTCGGAGAACAACCAGGTCAATATGACAGAGCAATGCCAAGACTGAGCTTTAGTGAAGACTTTGCTATCTTAGCAACTTCAATTGGGAAGCCGTACTGTTTTTTCACGTATGGCTGCGTAGATGAAGCGACATGGGACAAAGCCGAAAAGGGAGGGACCATTTCTCAGACTGTACCTGTCAACCACTCATCACTATTTGCCCCAGTTATTATGCCAACTCTGCAGACGGGAATAGATGGATATGCTCTTGGGGCACTAACATTCCTGGTAAAGGGGCAAGGTGCTAATTAACACATAATGTACGAAGACCATAAATAGCTGAGCCAGCCATGATTCTCTACCATTGAACGTGGTCTGACAGAATATTTCTGCCTCCATCCATTTTTAAAGATCACTGCCTGTGAAATTTACGAGCAACTTTTCTTGCTACCACGACAGCAGATAATTAAAGGTTTCTCGAAAGTATCCAAGTATCGTCTGTGAAATTGAGATGTTATGCATATTCCACGGAGTGTTTAGTAGGTCTGTATTTCCAGTTGCCTATCATCTAAAAATTACCAGCATAAACTATTTCGCCTGTACCGAACGAAGCAAGGATAATCACCGCTCTCATTCGCGCAAGACTCGACAAGCGAAATCTGCACCGAGTCTCCTCGGAAGTCCAACGCTTTCACAAACACTACACATGAAAAAGGCACCAAAATCCGGTACAGACATGCACACCAGAAAAAGAACCGCAAGGGACGCCCCAAAGAGGCAGATAGTGGCCACCATTGCGAAGTCCTTCAAAGAGTCGTTCGCTTCTATTATTACATATATGCTTTTGGTCTACAGGATAGCAGAGAAGTCTGTCACTTCACAATACTCCTTGAATGTAGTCATCTTAATTCCATACTAGGAAGTATTAGTTTCATTGATCAAAGGAGGAAAGCTAACAGGTGTACAACTCACAGCATCAGGGCGAGTGACCGATGGATCAGACCCATCATAACCAAACTCTATAGCAAACAGCACATTCTGTCCGAACTCGTGGCCTAACCCTCCCGGAAGAATGACGGTGAAGTCATCATAAGCAACCTCGTCGTAACCGCCAAAGGGAACGTTCTGGCTTTCGCACCAAGTTTTCAGATATTGGTTCCAGGATAACTCTTCTCCAACCGCGAAGATATTGAGATCAGGCTCTCCCTCTACGGCGGCCTTTACTAGGTAGCCAAAGTCCTTTCGCACATCACCGAATGGAATTGGAGCATCGGCAGGACCGACACCCTGTATGCGATAGGTTCCATCCGCTTGCTGCAGTTCACATGTTAGCCCTTCCAGTGATGAGATAGAGAGAGAGATAAAGGCGTGATTCACCCTCTTCGGCGTGGTAGGCAGCCCCCATTCCCATAGCAAGTTGTAATAGATGGGTGCCTGCACTTGAGAAAATTTTGACTTCAATGCAGGCAGGCTCTTTGCATAATCTGCAGCTTGGGCCTTAGAGTCCATGTGGTATAGCTCGTTGAACTTTCCCTTGCTCCATTTGTTTGCATCGGCCATGGAACTGAGAACGAACCTGCTCAGGTTAGGGACGGTGGCAGCCGCATCGGCGAGATTGATGCCTTGTTGCCGCTCAACCTCAAAGCAGTATTGAAGAATGTTCTGATCAGCCTTCTTTTTCGTCTGACTAGCAGGGTCCTTAAAACTAGTCCAGAAGTCCGTCACCCCAAAAATGGCATCCGCGCCCTGAAAGGCTTCTGCTAGTGATTCTGTGTTGTTGAGATCTCCTGGAACAATCTCAACGCCCTTCGCCTCCCATTCTTTAGCGGCTGCTGATGAAGGATTGCGAGTTACACCACGCACTCTCCAGCCGGGAGTCTTGAGATAGACATCCGCTACTGAGCTTCCCTGTACTGTTGTAAGTATTGAAATTTGAAAAGAAGAAAATGTATAGACGTACCTGAACACCGGTGATACCAGTGATTGCTATCAATTTAGACATGTTATGGTAACTTGAATAGATGTGCTTAAGATTCTTCAGTTTGAATATGATGATGAAGTGTTGGTTAGGTATTTGAATTGGCCTCTGTTGACAATTGTGAATGCAATTGAGTACCTGGCTTGATGCTACGATGCATCTTCCTATATGGAGGTATGGCGACCATCCCACTCTTTAAATAGAGATTCGAATATGGAAGCATGGCGTTCGTTGTGAGACACTGTGTCAAACAGAAAGTAGAGCCCTTTGAAGTGACGGAACTAGAGTTGTCCCATCGGGTCCCGGCGAAACACTGCTGCTTTGAAGGTGGATGGAATCACATACGAAACCCACCCTAGGATAGCGTGTGTAAGTCCTCAAACCCATTGCTGTGACTAAGCGTCGTACAGGTAATATCTGACTTAGCAGAGTGGAGTCCATCGTAGATGATGCAAGCCAAAAACTATGAGGAATCTTTTTGCGCCGCTAATCCCAAATTGACAGTTACACAAAGACCTCCCCCAGTAGTTTACATCAGCTAGCTTGCACTGGAAAGCGTATGTAAGCCAGCCCCCACATAGTTAAGCTTCAGGTACAGTAGCTATGGGCCGCATCATGCATTATTCAACCGACGAGATAAGGGTAACTTTTGGCTGCAAGTCTTCTCCATCCACTAGACTTTGTAACGATGGAGTATCTATTTTACGATTGGCCAGGTTGTCAAGTAGATGGTCGGATTTAGAACCTCTTTCTGACTAAAAAAAACCATTCTATACTGCAACATCATCTCAAACATCAAGCCATGAGATTTTGTATAAAAGGCCATCGCTTTTCGTGTCAACAATGTCGACTCTACTTTCATCATCAGAGCACAAGAACTCCAGCTATCAGCAGTTTCAACTTTTCTTCATCATCCCATAGCCAAGCGAACATAATCAATCAACAATACAATCTTGTCACAGACCCTTGCTGTCAGAAACAAACATGTCGAAGTCTCTTCAAGGAAAGATCGCCATTGTCACCGGCGCAGCAAAGTCCAACGGTGTTGGCTTTGCAACTGCCGCAGTCCTTGCTGAGCAGGGAGCAAATGTCAGTTTACTATCACCACCAGGGAATCGGAGATGATTCTGCCTCACAATACAATCCGGAACTAACAGTGTCAGATTGTTCTTCACTACAATACCAACAAAGATGCTGCTCTCAAGAGTGCCGAGGCACTGAAGCAGTTCGGTGTTGAGGTCACCACAGTTCAAGCTGATGCTAGCAGCGTGACTTTTGGCAAGGACATTGTCGATGCAACCCTCAAGGCTTTCCCTGGCAAGACTATTGACATCATTGTCAACAACGCTGCCATCATGGCAGGGTATCCCAGTCTCAAAGACTTCCCCGTTGAAGACTTCGATGTTGCTTTCCACACCAATGTCCGCAGCATCTTCCTGTTGCTCCAGGCGGCCGAGCCGCACCTGACCGCTCCAGGAGCCAGGATCATCAGCATCAGCAGTGTAGTTGCCACGATGGGATTCAGCAATGCCAATTTCTACTCGGGCTCTAAGGCAGCGCTGCATGGTATGACGCGAGGCTGGGCCGAGGAGTTTGGAGCCAAGGGCATTACAGTCAATGTTGTGTCATTCGGGCCAATTGAAACAGACCTGGTTCTTCCAGAGGAGCATCCTCTAGTTCCTAAGTTCCGGACAAACCAGTTCGTCAAGCGAAACGGTACGACAAAGGAGGCTGCCCAAGCTATTGCATTCTTGGCAAGCCCAGACAGCGGTTACATCACTGGTCAAATTATCAACGTTGACGGTGGCATGTCATTCGCCTAAAATGGGCCCTAAATCTAAAAGGTTTGGCAGCATTGAAAAAGCTGTTTTATGTAAAGATATGATAGACTAGCATGTTTAATGGCAATTCACATCGCGTTCAGATTATATACGCGTACCCATAATCAATACGTGTGTGACGAACTCTGTCTGTCTTCAAAGAAATCATTCCTTTTTCAACAAGCCGTTGATCTTGTGTTAAATTTGGCTAGATGAAAAGTCCCTTCATTCCTTGGGTGCTATTCAATATTGAGGTTGAATTTCCAATAGATTCCCGTCGGGATCTTCAGCCATGACTATAATAACAGCGTGAGTGCTGAGTCAAAGAAAGCTTGTAGCAAAGTAGAAGGCTTGTGCTTACTGAAACTGACACCCCCTGCTGCCGCCAGTCCTTGAATAATTGTTTGCGCAATCCGGTCACTACCAGGTGGGAGTAGGCCTAATCCATAAGCGTTTGGCAATGCTCCAGTACTTGAAGGGTCCGCGCCAGTTGTCTTAAGGATAGTAACATTTGCTTCTTGAAGTCGCTTCTGCGTTGCTTCAATATCCGGCACTACCAGCCCGACATGTGAGAAAGTATTGCTCTTACGAGTCGAAGCCAAGGGTGATTTGGGGGGTGGGTCCGTTGCATCAGGGGCGATATAGACGAATTCGATCAATCCCTTCATGTTGTTCTTTTGTCGATTCAACTCCAGTGGTGTTTGATAGCCCGTGCCATTATAGCCACCGGCAATGTGACCAACATAGGCTATCTTGAAGTATGGTGTAGCATGGTAGGTAAATATGTGGCGCATGCCAATAAGATCTACATAAAAATGCAAACTGGCAGTGAGATTCGCCACGTTCAACCCAATGTGATTGATGTTGTAACCGACAGTTTCCAAATCAGGATATCTTGTACAACATAATTAATTAGTCTCAGGTCTATATTTTCAATGCTTGTATGGCCTGATGGCCCCGCCCTCGCTGGTCCAGTCGGCTGATAGATCTGCAGTCCAGGCGTGACTTACTCATCGGGTCCGAATTCAAAGGGCCAAGTACTGTTGCTTCCAATACATGCTTTGCTCGGAAATATCATCCTTGCAAACAAGAGAATCACTTTGAGGTGGACGTTGAACCTCATGATAATCATTAGATAATCCGTAGTAGTCGATATACGTGCTGGCACTTAACATTATTCTAAGTGGATTCCTTGAAACAGACTGTTCTCAAAACGTAGAGAATTGTTTCCATTTATACACTTTTTTACTTCTTATTGCAGAGTGCTCTCATTCGCTTTGTGTAACAGTCATCCGTTTTTGTAGCGGCCCTAAAGGATCGCCAAGAGCGGCTTTGAGGACCCGATCCGCTTAAAGCCGCCCACCAGTGAAGGGGCTGGCACTCTATACATAGTATAAATGAGAAGTACCTCCTAAGTAATTCAAAGACGATAATCAAAGACAACATCTTACAATAGTTCATCATTCTATAGCCGGCTTGTTCTTGAGATAACAGCAGTTACAGATCAGATTTTATGTTGCTCAACTACTCCTACTAGGCCATAACCAAAAACCGTCATGATCTGTCCAAGTTGTAAAAAAACAGTCCTTGACTAATTTGATTCTCATCCAGGACTAGCGTGTCTAAAGATGATTTCCGTCCAAATCCATATTTAGGCTTGTATCCATTAGATCCGGGTGCCAGCGCCACCAGACATCTGATCCGTCCATGGATGCTGTCAACTGCTCTAGATCCCACCCAGTAGCACCGGAACTTCCTTGGTCTTCTGCGCAATCACGTTCACCAGAGATTGTACCCAGTTGGCCGAAATTGCAGAAATGCGAAGTCAATTCAGGAGCATTCGTTGCACCCTGGCCGAAGTTATCCGACGACAATAAGTGTGAATATGTCGAGTCCGTACTTAGCGAATACAGAAAAGACTTCAAATTGTCTTTCACAGCCCTCATGATGCTAACAGCACGTTTTTGTGGATTCGAGAAACTTGAGGCAGGACCAAACACATAGTCTGCCACCGCCATAATTCTTTCAGCATCCGGAAGGCAGGGATTTACGCAGACTTGACTAACCGGAAACAACATGCTATGATACTGATGATACGCCCCTGAATACCATGCCCAAGGTGCAAGATCTGGGTCCGTTTCGAGAGCCACGCCAGTCTCAAGCACCTCCAAATTTGAACGAATAGCTCTGGCATACTTTTGTCAACATCATCAGTGAATGAGTGCTGATTAAAACTGACCTATCTCTCAACTCCTCGGCTGCCATTGCCTCAGTCCAGTCATTCCACCGTGCGTGGACGCCATGGAGCACCATTCCTTTGGTTCTACTGAGGAGAAGCTTCGCCACGCAGGATGTATATTTTTGCAAAGGAACCTTTTGATTTAGATCGTTCAGGTAATTCAACTGCAGCTCTACCACACTCCTCTCAAGCATCTCTAAACATTCAGTGAGGGTAATGATTCCGTCTCGGACCTTCGTACGCTCTCGGAATACCCAGCGATGAATTCCATAGCATTGATAACGGACAACAGCTAATATCTCAGCATCGCTTGTGTCCCCTATGATTGATGGCAACTGAGCGTCATGATCGTGAATAATAGCATTCTCGGGGCCCGTGCCTTCAACAGCTCGCTGGTTGAGAAAAAGGAGGTGTTGCCACATGTGACGCTTGAGCTGCCTTCTTGTGATCGAGTCACCTTCGGAGTCTTTGTCAAGTCTTGCAATTTGAAAGTGTCTGACAATAGCACCAATATGTATTGAATGTGAGCGGGACACTTCTGTAAGGAACTGAGGTGTAAGGTAGATGAGGGTAGCCTGGAATATGCCTATATCTAGACGCATGATAGGATCAGTTTGACGAATAGTATCCAGGGTGGCATCGTGAAGCATCTTGATTAGAGAATTCTTCGGCATGCCGTAATGACTCTGACTCTCCACCATTGGCAAACTGATAGCAGCAGAATACATGACTGCAAGGCGGATTGAAGCAGTCACCAACTCTTTGGATTCAAGATCATGACGTGATACCAAGGGGCAGACCGGATACACAGCCCAGAAGAAGCGATCTATTAATGATTGCTGCTGAAGGTCCGAAATCGTGACTGCTTCACTAAAACCAGGGGCGCTGAAGATGGAGGGCAACACAGCATGTGGTTTGAACCACGCCGACAATGGTGCAGAAAACCGGTCTTCGGCCGGACCATCATTTGCAAAGCCAATACTGTCCAACATTTCACCAATTTCATTGGCGACGTTAGACCTCGGCATTCCACCAATTCGTTCGGTAATGCTTAACTTGCCAATTCTCAAACACATGTCTGGTGGTGTGCTCTCAATCGAACTGCTTCCCATGGTGGGGCCTATTGATTCGGACTCATTGCTAGGCTGAGCAGCATACTGGTGATCTTCTCCCAGCAATTGCACGTTTACAAGAGGTTGAGGATTCGTTGACGTTGTCGCAACAGCAGGGAAGACGCACTCTCGAGCTGTCTTCTGGCAGTGAGTGCAAGGCTGTGTCTTCGAACATCTTCTCTTCAATCTCCGACACTCTAAACAGGTATTAATCCTGCGATTTCGTTGTCGCCGTGCTACTTCCATCGTTTGCCTTCTCGTCAAACAACAGCAACATCAGAAGTGCGGTGACACCGGTTGTAATAATAATGCCAAGTAATAGCAACCAATATGATGTGGCGGTTCAGCTCGTCACCTGATTCCATTGCATTCATGTTCCGGCTGAATTGACGATGGATAAGCATACACGATCTGATATAGTCACTTGGAACCTTCCCAATATCTAGAAAATTGCCGGTCGTTCTGTTGTCTTGCTTCATATAGAGACTTGAATTACTTACACACTGGATTCAAGACTGGAGTGATCAGCCATGACGACGCAAAATGTCACTTCCCCACTCTACTAAGCCTTTTTACGAAATACATCACCCATTCCGTGCCTCATCCTGAAGGAATGAACCCTCGCATGTTTTGACTCTACAAGATCCGAGTGGAGTTTGGTAAGCACTAAGTAGAAAAATCAAAGCTTCACGTCGGATACATAAATATCAACTATCACACATTCCATGGAGATTTGCTTCTTCTCCCAAATATTATTCGGATTAGACACACGGAGCGTGCCAATTTCGCCCCATCCAACATGGCTGAGATCGGTTCAGAGACTTCGATCAGACAATTGCTAGAGAAGAAAACCAATGATTTTCTTCTATGCTATGAAGATGCAACGAATGCCAATGATCCCAATTTAATCTCCCGCCATCTGGCACCGGATTGCAAGCGATACTTTGGACCCGTGGGTTACCTCACAGCGATGGGCTTACCCCCAGACTTTGGCTTCTCCGTACCCGAATATCAGGCTGCTTACGAGCAGCACATGCCCATTTGGGCCGTGAAATCCACGGATATTCTCAACGTCGTCATCGATGAGGCTGGGAGGAAGGCAGCCGCAAGATCGATATGCCATGGAGAGTTTTGCGACGGAGATAAGTTTGCGCTGGACTTTACATGGTTTCTGGAGTTCAGTGAAGATGGCACCGAGATCAAGAAGGTCTTGGAGTTTGTCGACATTCCTGAAAGCATTCGACACTTCAAGAAGAACCAGGAGCTTCTTGAGAAGGTGAAACCAGAGAGTGCATAGATGGATGGCCTTCGAATTAAGTCTTCGAGTCGACAATCAGCAACGCTCATTGTATGGGACGTAGCTGCTAAGCTTCGGGCGCGAAATACTCCTCCGCCCGGGTAATAAACGTTCAATTCAAGGGCGGTGTTACTAGATGACAAGAGTAATGATACTTTTTGATGTCCCGAAGGTCATGTTTACTACTATAGGCTCACCAACACATACTTGAAGAGGTTACGATACCATTGCCAAACTCTTTACCCTGGCGAATGAGTGATATTAATTCGTTTCAGCATCGGTCTAGCCATGTCGTTTAGAGGAGCCAATCGAGAGTGATGTGCCAAATAAGCAGAATCTTTTTTCAGAATTGTTCTCATCTCCAAGCAGTAGACTCAGAGTAAGGGTAACTAGTTCATTGTGTTTTCATTGTTTGGAAAGGTGCATTGAATCACCGCCTTACTGAACTTCCCAACATAAAAACATAGTCAAAGGTTCTCGCCCTTTCTGGGTCATTGTGAAATAAATTCTATACACCAGGTATAGTTTGTAATTTTTTGCCTGCTCAGGTGAGAAGTAGCCATTGGAGCGGAGTTTCCGACGAGTTTACCTCATGGCCGAGGTGATTCTGGTAACTAAGGGATAACGGTCCGGAACCAAGTAACCTGCAGCACTAGCCGCTGGTATTGTTCGCTTGATTTGAGGGGCCGTTGCCTACGCCAAGCGCTATCAGATAGTGGTCTCCGGGTAAAGTTCGGGCCTCAACGTTATAGAGCCCACACCGCTGAGGCTAGCTAACAGACTCCACGATCCGTCTCATTGACATCATCTCAACACAGAACTTGACATATCGAACACAATGTCGAAAACAGAAAAAGACCCCAAGATCCTAGAGGTTGCAAAAAATCTCGCGCATGTGCCGTGATGCGACGAGTATGAGAAGATGATCTCCGGGGTCCTGTAAGACATGGCGAAGTTGTCCATTGAGGATTGACTGACTGAAGATGGAGATAGATACGACTCCTTGGATCCGGCATTATTCTCAGCACGATTCCGTGCCCGAAGATTTATGCATAAATATAATCATCACTTTCCTGATGACGCTACTCCCGAGTCGTTGAATGCAGACCGCCGAGAGATGCTGGATGGGATTTTTGGCCGAGTAGGAAAGGATGTTTTCATTGAGCCACCGGTCAACATTGACTATGGCTGCAATATCTCCCTTGGAGATGGTTTCTACTCAAATTTCAAGTACGATGATTCTTTTTATTTTAGATTCTCATGGATTGTAACTAATGGCCTCCAGTCTTGTCATCCTTGACTGTGGTATCGTCAATATTGGCAACCGGGTCATGTTCGGCCCATTCGTGTCCATATTTGCTGCAACACATGAGACAGACGTCCAGTCAAGACGAGATGGAGTTGAGTATGCGATGAGCGTGACCATAGGAGATGATTGCTGGATCGGAGGCAATGTCACGATAATGCCCGGCGTTACAATCGGCAAAGGATGCACTATCGGTGCCGGTAGCATTGTCACAAGAGACATTCCAGATTTCTCAGTTGCGATAGGGTCTCCGGCAAAAGTGGTGAGCAAGGTCGATCCGGTTCCAGATGCCCCATGATGGTTTCCAGTGAAGGCAATGGGAGGACGTCAGGAATCGTATATCGTATGCGGATGAAGGAAGACGATTGCGCTATGTATAGCGGGTGTGAAGCCTTTGACCCTACATTTTAGACAGCCCGGATGGTGGCATAGAGGACGCAAAAATCAACGACTGTTTCCCTTCAACGTTGATCGAATTATGATATGTCATCGCTGTTGATCACATGCCACCATCTGAAGGGAACATCAAGATGGAAAATGGTCATATTCCATTGCGAACAAGTCCACATAGATGGGGCAGAATCTAGAGCATAACGACCTTACAATGAAGGTCGTAATTGGATTTGTCAAGTCTCGCAAGCAAAGTGATATTGCAGACCCCGAAAGCTATAAGATACTAAATCATGACGCGTTGGGTATCACATGCTATTCCGAACGGTACAGACCTTAAACAAGTAGCCCCCCTATCCTGTTCTTGAAAATCTCGAAATTTCCCTCGTCGTGCTTATCATACACAGCGAACCAGACCTCCTTCCACCAACCACCAGCGAACTCGTCCTCCTTCAACACCTCGGCCCAACAGTCTGCAATGTCCTCTACAGGCCCATGAAAGGCTCCGCAGCCTAGAGCACCTAGAACTAGTAGGCTGTGGCCTTTGTAAGCCGAGATACGGAGTGTGAGCCTCATCTTGTCTTTCGTAAGTTCGCGATCTCCGGGTTTGACGAAGACAACCTTTGTTGTTGGCGTGCTGTCTCCCTTGGTAATCGAGACTTTCTTGTACGGCGGGTTACGAATCGCTGCGATACTGACCACGCTGACGACAGGGAGATCGGCAGGTTTGGTTTCGGGCGTCAAAAGAGCATGATGATTGCTCATGGCCGAGCGTATGACAACCACATCGGGAGTGTAGAGACCTTGTCGCGCGGCGATGGGGTAGTATCTCTTGTGTAGACTCAAAGACAGAGATGATCTGTAACAGAGCGCTTCCTCCTGTGCAACAGCACCATTGAGCCACCCGCCGCCTGGATGTATGTCGGAGGCGAAATTAAGAACAGCAACTCTGGCCCCGCGATCCGTAGGGTTGGGTGCCTTGTGCAAAGCCGCGAGATCAAGGGCAGCGTTGAAAGTGTCCTCGTTGATGACCTTGACGGCAGCGTTTTGGGGATAGTTGGGACGATTAGAGACGTCGAGTGCAGGGAGCGCATCTACAGACCAGACCTCGGACTCATCGGCGTGGATGTGAGGAATATCTTGTAAGATGCCTGGGAGCACGGCCTTGGTCTCTTTCGCAACGTTAGCCAGAGCTTGGCGGGCGGCTGAGAGCTTCTTCGGTAGTCGAATGCTCTTCTGAGACATCATCGAGTCGATTGTTCTCTGACCGTTGGGGTGATTGTTGCGATGCCTGTGAGACGACATCTTGTTCGTCGAGGAAAACGGTCCTTTATTACAACCGCGTACTTTCCCGGCGGAACTCTCGTGTAGTACAGGCAGCCACGACTAGTAGCAGATTGAGACAGAAGGCGCACAAAGCGAGAGTTTGGACTCCAGAACAAGAGAGGCCGGCTTTAGCAGCGGTTCAGATATCCTTTCAAGGTCAGCGACGTTTTCGGAAACGAAAAGCTTGAGATGATTTGAGGTGTCTTGCTCTATTTGCTATTTGTTCCTCACGATTGACAATCACACCTGCGGCTTTTCACCTTTAGTGTTTGCCGGGGCACCGGAGTGACTCAAACGGGGCTGAGCCTCAGGCGTATTTACCAGCTTAGTTACCCTAGCGCCGTGGGGTGACAGCCTAAACCACGCCAAGGTGTTTAGACCACTTACAAGGCCATCACATCTGTTTGCTCTCACGAACCCCTCATCGTATGCCTCCTCTGCCTCATGGAAGACTTTCTTTTCGATTTCCGCTACTTTGACATACTACTTCCAGTTAGATTTGCCAAATATTTTCCATCATTGAACTATCACTGGGTCCAGCATACATCAAGACACATACAATTCGAAAGGATTTCGAGCTGCACCTGGACCGCAAGGAAACACGAGTTCCTATTCAATAATAAGAAAACAAGAAGGTATTGGACATGACATGAGAAATGCAAGTATTTTAAAGCCGAACAAGCTTCTAGAAGCATGTGTTGAAGCAGAGGACTACAGACTCTCTTGCGTCTTTGAAAATTTACCCCTTTTGCTGTGCAAGTGAAAATACCGTCTCGTGTATAACTTTCTGAAATATCGGTTCTGGCAAACTTTATCTCGAATTGCTGCAAAGGCTGTCTCAGGCGTGTCGTGTTCTCAAGTTTCTAGAAGACCTCCATAATGAGTCGAATGTCTGCCAATTCTTGTAGAGGACCCTAACATCATCGCGCTGGGGGATCTCGCGCAGCGAGACATCTTCTCTTGAGGAGTCTGATATTTCCTCGCGAAGGGCACCGTGAGGTGATCAAGAAACAGGATCTTGTGAATGGTACATTGGACAGAGAGGACGTGAAAAAAAGACAGCCCGTCGCTGACATCAATGCATACATCTTCGAGACGATGATCTTCCTTGATTCCTCCGTCAAGGCTCATAAAGAAGCATCTCTGAGTCTTTCCCCACGGCTACGCCGTCGAATAGTCCTTGTCGGACTTTTAGTGCTGGTTCTCTGTGGGATACTATTTGCGTCCATAAGGATGCGACCTGATGGATTTGAAAGACCGACAAAGCTCTCAGAGAAAGATGTGTTGGCCTGGGAAGCAGCAGGTAACAGTACTCTTGGTTTTCCATTCTATCAAGTTTATCAACCTGAAGAAGCGGTTTGATCGCAGAGACACCGCCATTCTGCAGGCATATCTCTCGGGTATCGATTTGGAAGACTATCCAGGGGTTGAGCAGAGCATGGTCGATGATCAAGGCATGCCACCAAGTAGTACTTTACACCTAAAAGTGGGTGAAAAAGGATGTTGGCGAGCTCACGCAAATGTAGGCCACTTCCTTTGGTATATGAGTTGAGCTAACACATTAATAGGTCTGGGGCGATATACTGCAGAACCGCTTACCACCCGTCTTGATTATCGAATCGGACGCTACATGGGACGTCAATATACGCCCTGCTATGGCAACTTTCAATAAATACTTCACAGAATTCTTGCGGAAAACGGAAGCGGAACCTCTCTATAGATCGAGCCCCCTATCGAGTAGCGAAAAGAGTCCGCATTTCGAAGCCTCCACGAGCCCCTTGGGCCACATCACCAGGCCGTCCTGGAAGATGAACGGTCCACAGCGGCGCGACGTACAAAATGATGAGCGGACGCAGGGAGATCATGCAATGACTCAATTTACTCCCATCCCGCTGGTTGAGCCGGACCCAGATGACCCTTGGCATAGCGAATATTAGGATCTTCTCAGTATCGGCCACTGTTTCGACTCCCAAAAGCGTGGTAACCATCCGCATCTTATATACCCCGATCCATATGGTCCAGTAGCGAAGACCTATTTTGGACATGATCTTGAGAGCGAGCGAATCATCGTGGAATCAGGAGGCTTTGCGTGTACCACGGCCTACGCAGTTACACAGCGCGGCGCGGCCAAGTTGCTCCTGCAGATGGCATCTGACCTGTATGATCCTATAGATACTGTGATGAAAAACAGTAAGTGCCCCTGACTCATTCAAGCAGTTTGCTCTAATTCGACGACAACAGTGGTAAGTGAAGGACAACTGAAAGCCTACTCTGTTAACCCGGCATTCTTTGCCCAATGGGTCTATATGCCGGGGTTGGGCATGAATGGGCGCGGCTCCAAGAGCGATATACACGGAACTAGCATAGAGCACGTCATTGAAGGTGAGCCACCCGATATGAGCGGCTGGGACCGAGCAAGAGCAGCCAAGACGGTGTGGAAAGTCAAGCCTGAGCATCCAGACTCAGCACTCAAATCCATGGCGCTGCGTGTCGCGTGGGATTATATCTTTAGCAAAGAGAAAAACATCACTGTTGGATTGTACCGACAGATCAGCTAGAGGAGATTCACTCAAGTCGATGATAGACTGGAAGATGGGGTATCATTGGTCTATGTACTATTATACAGTAGTCTTATGACAATCATGTTACAAGTGCCATTTTGTATAACTCCGGTCATACTGAGGAGCTTCTAAAACACATCACTCGCTAGGCCGGCGACTTGATCGCCCCATCAGGCGTAGGCGACTCGGGTTCAAACACACGAGGGATCAGGCCCTCAGCCATGTTGATAGCCCCCTCCATATCATTCTTGTTGAACAAGAACAATCCCTGTATAGCAGCAGTGCTGGTGTGTCTCTTAGGCACATCCACTCCATGCTCTTCCCCGAATAGGCCAAGCTCGTCGAGTCTCTTCAAGAAGCGCTCACGTCCTTGCCCGTCATGGTCGACATCGCCGTAGAAACGATCCCACATCTGCCCGGCTTGGTATCTTGTCGCTTCTCCGATCCGCACCAGCAAATCCACTCTGCCGGGTCGAATTAACGCAGCATCCAGCCTATCGATATGGTTGGTTGTGAGGAATGCGATCCGCTCCTCTCCAGCAGCAAGGCCATCCATCGCGTTCAACAAGCCGGAGAACGTCACCGTCGCCCCGCTGTACCCATCTGAACTTCGTTGTTGCCTGTTCACAAACGCGGCATCCGCATCTTCTAACAACAGTATACTTCGTTGGGGCAGCTTCGTCAGAAGCATCGCCAGCTTGTCATCCGTCATTCCCCGCTCGCTCAAATTGATCATGGCGACGCTGTAATCTAGTTCACCCGCCAATGCCTCGATGAAGCTCGTCTTTCCACTGCCAGGCGGGCCGTACAGTAGATAGCCACGCCTGTACGGTATGCCGCGGTCAACATACCACTGCTGCCGCTGTAAAAAGTCCTTCACATCGGCAACAATATCTTCCTTGACTCCTTCGTCCAATATGACGCTTCCCAGAGGTCGCTTGCGCCGCGGCTCGCCTAGTGGTGCCCAACCAAAGTTCTGCGTAGCATACACGGTAGTTTTGCCCTCTCGCGCACGAGCCGCCAGTGTATGTGCCTGTCCGAAAACATCCTCAAAAACGTGTCGATGCGCCCAGAGTGTCGTGAGGGTCACCACCTCGTGTGGCTCGCCAGTGTTGAGGTTCGCCGTATTTAGCTTCTCGCGGTTGACGGCAATGTACACACCGGGAGCGTGCCGGATCAGGTGGCGGCCATAACCTGGCTGCAGCAGGAAATGCGCCTGTACCGGGCCGGAGCCTGAGGTAGCTTCACCAGCGGCCATGTTCTTCGTAGCTGTCGTGACGGACAGATTGTGAATGCGCGTCAGCTTGCTGGCGAGGAAACCTAGATTCTCGCGTGGCTGCGACAGCCAGGCAAGTATCCATGGATAGGACGGGTCCTGGCGGCCGATCTCGACGTTCACGAGGAGTCTGCGGCGCAACATACCGGCACCGGTGATGAGCCCACGACGGGCCAGAGCTGCCGCGCTGCCGAGGGCCGCGAGGCCGACGCCGCCGGCGAACAGCGGATTTTCAAAGAGCCCATTGAGGCCCAAAAGGGACGCGGCGTCCGGAGATGGTGTTTGCTGGGCCATTGTGAATTGCGCCCGCTACATGGCTACCACTTGGATGCTGTTCGAAAACACAGCGGGACAAAAATTTAGTGACGTCTATCGGGAATTCCGACTGTGGGCCACCCCTGTAGGAGTGCTAATTTTAGTTGGCCTGCCTGCTCTGCTTATATGAAGCTCGACAGCTACTCTCTCCCATAGGTCCTATGGTCGCATATTTTGACAACCTAGGAACTGAGCATCTCTAGAAAGATCAAGAAAAGTGTTACGTCGAATTTTATTGAAAGCTGATTATGGGTGCAAAGGCCAACAAGTCCAGCTTTTCAGCAAAGCCTTGCCTTACATTTACTGACCACCTTGAACGAAGCAGTATAGCAGCATATCTATCCCATCTTGTCCATTCAGGAAATGTATCTGTGCTGGGGATATATCCACCATTTCGCTCCGACCATAGTATAATACATTCGATACAGTAGATTTGATACAACCGGAGTAATCGCCCAATCTCCAGCAGCTTCTAAGTCTGTCCATAACTAGGACTGACTAGCACTCAATCCGGTGCTTAACCTAGACGTCTAGGCTTCTTGCTTCTCGTTCCACCAAACTTGACTCTTGTTGAATCCGTGACTCGCACGATCTTTGGCCGCCAAAGCTTTCCTTCGGTGCCCATCAGAACCTTGGTGACGGCCTCTCTGCCTGGACCAAACCCTCTGAGAACCACCTCCAACGTCTCAACCTTCTTGTGCCAGCCCTGCTGCTGCAGCCGATCTATCACATACGCCGCCAATTGATACGCGGAGTCGTAATTCTTCCTCTGACCCTTTTTGAACCCGAGATTTCCACAGGAAAGAGACACGATGGCATCGCGGTTAGGCTTGGTAAAAGTAACATGTGTGTTGTGTCTGTGACTGTAGACATGAAAGTGGTACGGTTCGCCATCGACGGCCTCGTCTGGTAGCGAAAGTTCGTCTAGAGCTCCCTCGAGGCTGCTTGTGTCTACCCGAGGCTTGTTGCGGACGGAGCTGAGGGTGTCCATAGCCAGGCTGTTCGCCAAGCTCTGCATGGTGCTGGGTTTTCGGGGTTCTGAGCCTGGTCTCGCGCTATTGGACTTGTTGCCAGACAGCGTGCCTAGAAAGCTCGATGGACGCTCATTCTGCTCTGCCCTTAGGCTGGGTGATGTTGAGAATGGCCTGCTCAATTGCGTCGCACATCGTGATGAGGATGTTGGTTGTGAAAGGCTCTGGAGGAGGGTCGTCGCCAACCGGCGACTTGTGGTCGTCCGGCTCATGGCGTGTGTGTTGCGTCGAGTCGCTGGGCGGTGGTCGATGTTCTCGGAAATTTTCGATGCTTCAAAGTTGAGTCGCGACAGTTTGGTTGGTAGCTCTTTCTGCAGGTGCAAATCCCTGCCACGGAAAGCCCCGGGCTCGGTTCTTTGCCTGCCCTGTGCTCCGCTCCGGTCGCCGTCCGCAGCGCAGCCCAATCAAATTGCACCCAGCGAGACTAATAGCTAGAGAAATCACGGTACTCAAAATTTCCTGCGCATCCTCTCCCATCTCCCCGACCTGCGATTCTCACCACAGTGGGAGGTGCAACGGTGCTACCGACGATGAACTCCCTAAGAACCATCTCGAGGCAGGGCCCTGTTCCCTCTGCCATTTCGAGAGCGTCCTCTCTTTCGTCCCCTTCCTATGGCAGATCTCCAGCCTATAGGCGGTTACAGAGTAACATCTCGTCCGCCAGTGGCAATGGAGCTCGATCATTGCCCTCTAGCTTCTCCTTCTCACAACCTGCGCCGCTACGCTCATCCCTCCTCCCCGACACCATCCGCATAGAATCCGCATCGCGAATTCACTCGAGGTCATTCGGCTTCACTTCGCGCACCCAACAAGAGAAGCCGGAGGCAAAGGCGCAATCGGAGGCTGCTAAGGCTGCCGAAGACGCTGAGGCCAAGACCGAGCCACCCGCAGAAGAGGAAACCAAGAAAGCTGAGGAGGAGAACGGCGAAAAGAAGTCAGAGGAAGGCGAAGAGGGCGAGAAGAAGGAAAAGAAAGAAGACCTGCCACCTCCGCCACCCCATGGCGACAAAACACCATGGCAGGTGTTCATGGAGACCATGTCAACCGAGTTCAAGCAGAACAAGGAATGGAACGAGTCTACCAAGGCCATCGCCGACGGCGCGCATCAATTCACCGAGAGCGAATCAGTCCGACGAGCACGTGAAGCATACCAAAAAAGCACCGATGCTGTATCCTCTACCGCCGGCAAGGTCCTGAAGACCACAGCTGGAGCTGTTGGTAAAGGAGCTGCCTGGACCTGGGAAACCCCTGTTATGAAGGGCGTTCGATCCGCAGCGAATGTTACAGGTGATGCTCTGGACAAGGCAACGAAGCCAATCCGTGAAACCGAGGCATTCAAGAGCGTCAAAAGTGTGATAGATGATGGCAGCAGCTCAAGATATGGCGGTTGGGTTGAGAAGGAGGAACGAAGGAAGGCTAGGGAACTCCGGGAGCAGCTAGACAAGATCAACGGGGTACAGTCGCCTCAAAACTTCGAGGAAGATCCAAAGTATGGACCTCATACTCTCTCATATTGAACTGATACTAATATTTTATCCAGCGCTGGTACAAATGTTACCCTACATAAGGATGCGGCTTGGAAAGAGGCATGGAGGAATTTCAAAGACCAGAACAAGTTTGTTCAGGGCATGTTCGACATGAACCGAGTGTACCAAGAGTCCGAAAACCCTCTCATCTCAACCGCCAGGAGCATCACCGATCGTGTTGCTGGCTTCTTTGCCGAGAACGAGACCGCTATGGTCATCAAGAAGTTCCGCACCTTCGATCCTGCCTTCCAGGTTGAACCTTTCCTACGGGAGCTGCGAGAATATATACTGCCGGAGGTTTTAGACGCCTATGTGAAGGGCGATACGGAGACCCTCAAGCTTTGGCTATCAGAGGCTCAATACTCTGTTTACGAGGCACTCACGAAGCAATACCTTCAGGCTGGACTGAAATCTGATGGACGCATTCTAGATATTCGACATGTAGACATTCTCAAAGCACGTATGCTTGAGCCTGGCGAGATCCCCGTCTTCATCATCACCTGCAGGACGCAGGAAGTCCACGTTTACCGCAACGCCAAAACCGGAGACTTGGCTGCTGGCATGGAAGATAAGGTCCAGCTGGTCACATATGCAATTGGAATCACTCGAATTCCCGAAGACGTCAACAACCCCGAGACGAGAGGATGGAGGTTGATTGAGATGCAAAAGAGCGCCCGGGAGTACATTTAGACTCAGAACCGGAATACGCTTAATCACCACACTCACTACGCTGGATGCACGAAGTCCAGTGCGCTGTTTTACAGCAATGTTGTTTTATTACGCCGGCAGCCTGAATCGTTGTTGTCTTGTCCTATTGGCATGGAGGTCCTGGTTGCGGACGGTTGTTGTATAAGTTCTGTACCATAAATAGCGGCTGGTTGAGGCCGCGACCAAAAAGGGAGTTACTGGCCTTATAGAAAGGGGCATTGGGCGAGGCGCAAAAACAACACCACTCTTCACGAGTCTCGAGAGGGAAGGCTCGCTGTATTGATCATCTCCGATGCCATAGTATCGGTACAATTTAGTCCAAAAAATAATGACTACAAATATCTGTCCCCTGTGTAATATGCATTTCCCAAGTCCCGATGGATCAATCCTAGAGTCTTCCAGCTGGCGTTCGCATTGCAGAAGCATGGCCCTTATGCTGTAGACTTCTCCCTCTCCCTCTCCTCATCCTCTTTTCTGAACTCCTCTCTTACTCTCATCAAAGCCTTTCCAAGCAAGTTGAGGCCCCATTCGTCTCTCCGTTCCTCTGCAAACCGCTCTGTAAATCCCACGCCCCATACGCGATCGAATGGACTGGCCTCGACCAGCTCCCTATCGCCAGTACTCAATAGCAGCGCTCGTAGGCTCTCTCCCACAAGCGGGCTACCAGGGCAGTTGCCTCTGGTAATATCCTCCTCACTCAGGGCAGTCGTGAACTTGAGTATATTCCCCTCATACACAACACGCTCTCGTTCCCTATTCCATACTGCCTCGTCGAAGTTGCGCACCTTTCGTCCTAGCGACTTGACCTTTCTTGGGTTTCCGGTCTTGAGGATCTCGCTTGCTACCTGTGTGTCGCCGAAGAGAACCGCTTTTTGGTACATCATGTAGTTTTCCGCCGTCTTATAGATCAGATTTGGGTTATTGCCGTCCCTGAACGGACAGGCGTACCACTGGCTGAGGTAGCCCGTGTCTGGGTGTGTTTCTCGCCAAAAGAAGACGGCGGATTCTTCGCCCATGTTTGTATTAGTATTTGACTCTGGTGTTGCCTGATTCAGTGAATTAGTTGCATTTGCTTTTATAGTTTTGGTCTTATTGGTGGGTGCTTTGAACTTGATCACTTTGTTTGTCTTCGGCGGCATACTGGCAGGTATCTTTCTAAGGTGAAGAGACCGGAAGAACATTGTTGAAACACAAGATATTTTGTGTTGACTTCGCCGACTTATATGCAACCGTCGGCTGGTAGCCTCTGCAGCCTCTGTAGACTGTAACTGATGGCGCCAGTCGTGTGGAGGCTGAGCAAACACATTGCTTCAACTAACACTTCCTGTGAGTCACCCCGGATCTTAGGCCCAACGCAAGCCTCAACTTTGGAACAAAAAAGTTTGTTCCAATGGATATGACACGCCGTGACAAGGTTTTTTTCGTTTGCTTTTTCCTTCGACAGCTGCTTCTAACTTCGAATATTGCTATGAAGCTCTACGGGTATGGCGACGCGAGCTCCACCTCGATGTATGTCATACATGGGTCACGATCAATTGTTGATACTTGGTTCATGCAACGTGCCCTCAATTCGTAATGTCTTTATATAAATACATCTTTGGCTCGATTGTACGAGAATTGGGACCAAGATCACTAGAATGACAATAAAATGTGCACAGTAAGATCAGCACCGTCATCCTCTTCGAACGAATATTGCTCATCGATCCATTTCATCTGATCTCCAAGTGAGGTGTTTCGTGAGACTTTTGTAGATACCTGTTCGACATTGCCATGGCCAGGGCGCTCAGTATCCTCTCGAACAAACTCTATCTCCCTCTTCATTTTCCTACTTAGCTCAGCTAACGTGATCGCTCTAGATCTGAGGAATTCCGGCATCCACCAGGAAGTGTGCCAGTGTAGCTTCATCACGTTGGTGCTATGCCATACAATGTGTTCGAGTTGCTGTATGAGCTCGCCCATCCTCAGGCCAAGTTCATAGGGCTCTGATCTTTTCTCGCAGCAGGAGTCATTTTGGGCAGCGTAATGAGGCCCGTGGTACACTTGGACACACCAGCTTGGCTCGCAGGTATCATGCTCCTCATCCACCACTATCAATAACTTCTTCACGGGGGGTTGTTGCAGCAGCATTTGTCGCCACGATGCCTCGGGTCGCTGCCAGGCCAGATGACTTGCTCGACAGGGCAGCTTCTCCCATTCGATATCCGGGAAGAAAGGCTCCCCTGCTGTATCCCGCAACGAGAAACCTGCAAGAGGGGCGTCACCTCTCGCCATGACATCCACTAGCTTCTCCCCCGTACCTGTAAGGCTATCACGTCTTGCAGAGAACAGGCATGGGAGGAATTCGGAAAGGAGCGGATTTTGGGCTTTATTGGTATCAGGGTGTTTGTATGGGAGGAGGCAGCTGTCGCAACCGAGGAGCATGCTAACGAAAGCAGTATCGCCGGGCACCAGGAACAGTTTTTTTTTGTAGTGAAGGCGAAGTCTTGATTAAGTTGCCCCAAAGGCAGCATACCCCTGTACAAGCTGTCAGCAGCGTGCGAATATCAACCCGTAGGAGGATATGCTCGAGAAGCTCCACATTGTGGAGGACTTTCTCCATGGGCTTGTAAAATGAGGATGACGGTACTCTAACAGCAAATATAGAGGTAGAGATTCTTGTGAAGTTATAAGTTGGCGCGTGGACTGATTGGTGTCATGGATGAGATGAGGGGTAGAGGGATACGATTTAGGCAGAGAGTTGTATCAATTTCATCAACATTTTGGACCAAATTACAATATTGTGTCTATTTAGTTTACGCCGAAGCTAAAACAGTTGTACATTTAGACTATGTGCTCCTTCTCCAGCAGTGAAGAGCAATCGATGGCCCATCTACTAGGCACATGTCATCCGAGATGATCGAAGCAGAAAAATTGACTCCCAAAACATGTCTCCTATTGCAATCACAATTTCAGGGACAATCTTGCAAGAGCAATCTTTTGTCGGAACGGCAATTTGCTGCGGGTGTCAAAGAGCTGCGAGAAGCTATGACTGCACAATTGTGATGCAGGGCACAATGACGAGTAGCATTCGTACCGCTCTCAGCCATGACATCAACCATGATCACGGATTGCAGTGAAAGCCCCCAGATTTGGAGATGCCATCTGGCGACATGGGAGCTGCCCGTAGAGTTGTCAGATTGTGTCCATTATGACACATTCAAATCTGTTGGCTACATATCTGCGACTTGATGTTGAAGCCGAAGAGCACAGCTTAAGCTAGGATTAGATTTGAGGTTGAGCCGGTTCAAGGTTCATTCCATATCGTGGAATACGGCAACTCCCTTCGGCCGCATGCGCATCACGGTAAAAAGCGGGCACCCTAACATCTTCCTGTGGCAGCTGATGTGGGGGAGCGTTCTTCCTCAAGCGAGCGAGCTTGGAGGATAGAAAGCACATGGAAGTCCTCGATATGTCTAGGGAGCCCCACAACATTTCGGTGTCTTGCTGTTGTAGAGGAGGTGATAATCCTCCATTGAGCGGAGGATCAAGGGAGTGCCTTGGGTTCACTCTCGTCGTTTTCGGCTGAGGCCGTTTCGGTAGACTTGGTCTTCGGTTCGCCCTCTGCATCAAAGCCTAGGGCATCCAGCTCCCGAATGAGCTCATTGATCTTGATGACCTTGGCGATTTGCTCGGGGAGCAAGGATTGCCCGCCCTCCTTCTTGTCCTTGAGCTCTTTGGCTTGCTTGAGTTTCTTCTTAAGATTGCGAGCCTTCTTTTCCCTCTCAGCCTCAGGGTCGATCTCCTCGGGCTTCGTCTCAGGTTGGGCAGCACCAGGCTCCGTGGTATCTGATGGAGCTGCCTCGCCTGCGGCTTTGGCCTTCTTGCGTGCCTCCCGTCGCTTGGCGTTCTTGTTGGCAGCAGCAGAGGATTGATCGGACTTGTCGTCCTTCAAGCCCTCTGCGCCAATCACGCCGCCCTTGCCGCGATTGCGAAAACCCTCGGCGGTTCGGTTGCGGTAGACCTCAACATCCTCCGGAGGTCGGTAGCCAGGGCGAATCTTGATTGCCTTTCTCGTAGTTCCGTCCGATCTGAGAGATTCAGGAATGTGACGCTCGCCGCTATTCTCATCGGTGACAATACCCGCAGTACTAGGTTGGGAGGGCATGGTGGATATCTAGGCAAAGCCAGGTGGGTGAGGGGTTTGTGAGCGCCGGTAGCTTGCACACAGCTCGAGAAGGAAAAAAGCAGTATAAGAAAAGAAAAGAGTGTCCCAAACTCCAAGTCGCTAGGACGAGAAATCGTCGGCACTCCGCCACGCCGGATGTCGAATTTGTGAAAAACAAATGTTGTGGACGAGGCTGAAGTAAACTGAGGTTATTGACACTAAATTCGGAGGCAGCTTTCTGAGGCTGTTTGGTTAGTGGGGTGGCAGCTCTGGCCAATCAACGTCGAGCTAATCCGTCGGGTCAAGCAGGAAGTTCGGGGTCCCGAATTTTGCTTTAACATCACGACCCTTCATCGAACCACCCGCCTCCAACGCGCATTGCCAGACCACATCGTCGTCGTACTCTTCGCCGCCACTTTGAAGGACCTCAGGTCGCAAATTCAGTCACAATGGTATGGCACAACCCAGTCTCAGCCCCCAATTGGTGCGCTCTTGCTAATCGCTCATCTATAGGCCGCCGCATCACGACCCATCTACAAGCAAGTTCAGCCTCCGAGCATGCGCGCCACGACCCCGACGAGCTAACAATTGACCGCAGTGCTCTCTTCCGCAACAACTACACCATGCTCGGCGTAGTGTTCGCTGCCGGCTTCGGATTCGAGATGTGCGTTTATGATTACCGAGCTCTGCTACTCGCAGTCCGATGGATTTACTGACGGGTATACCAGGTTCTACAACACCTCCATGAACAAAGTCTGGGACAATATCAACCGAGGAGTAAGTACCTATCGCCATCGCGGGTAGCGCGGTCTAGCTAACACGATTGCAGCGCCAATGGAAGGACATCCGATCGAAGTACGTCGAGAGCGCCGAGGATGACGAGTAAGGAATAGTCTTTTAGACATGATGGGAATACCACCAGGGCCCAGTTCAGGGCAGAAAGTGTATCGATGTGTATCTGTACAGCATAGACAAGAGCTAGGTGTAGCTGGACAAATAGCGAAACTGCCTTGACTCCATCTTTGCCCAGGACTTTGGATGATGTGAAATGCCACTGCTTCCCTGCCTCCTACTAAGAGACGTGCTACATCTACGACTTAAATATCTGTCACTCAAGATACAAATCACACGATGTAGGACCAAATGAGATCCTGGCTGAGCCTGGCATTATACCACGGATATGAGTTGTCTTGTCCCACTGGGTTGGCCTGGCTTTCAGCCCAGGCTGGTAGAAGTGTCCATAGGCGGAACGCACCAATGCATGGGTCCTCGGCGGGTAGCGGAAAACTAGGTAGCCCATCTACCGCAATCCTGGCGTCCCGCTGCACCAACTTAGGCGCTCCCGAATGCCTTGCCTAACGACCTATCAAGGGTCCAATTCAATGTCAACTTTGCGAGTCTCAGTAACGCGGACTGCCGGTTCCTCGGCCATTCTATGGAGTAAATAATTGCTTGCCAGATTCCATGGGTCGAGCCGCCACAATTCTTGCTTGTAGGAGGTAAAGTGCGCCTCTTTGCCTCATCGCCATGTCTAAGATACTAAATACTGACTCAGATTTGAGTGATCTCATCATCCGCTGTCTGTCACTGGGCCTGGTCGCCTAACTTGTGGTACCTAGAGCTCCCCGCCATCCGCCATACGCCACACCTTGGTCGCCTGCTGAAACCCCACCTCAACCTCCAACTCCTGTATTATACCAGGCACCTCGTCGTACGCAAGCCCGGACGAAATATCAGCACAGAAGCTCTCGTTGGGTAACGCATCCATGATACCACAAGATTCACGGCTATAGAGAATGACTTGATGCGTCGCCAGAATGGACACGACCATGTCGAGTCAAGAGCAGCAGCTCTGCGAGTTCCTGCGGGCTTTACCCACGACGCACCACTACCGCTACAATGAAGCCGCCTCCCAGGACCTCCTCACCAGCCTCTTCTGGTGTCTCGCCGGAGGGAAGCCCGAATACATGAGACTGTTCTTTCCGAATGGTAGCCCGGTTGTGGAAGGGAAAGTGCTGAAGCTCAAAGAGGCACAAGGAGCGGTTGAGGGTGCCGAGTACACAGAAGCCGCCCGCGGTAAGGCCTGCGGTCATATCTTCAAGGCCGGAGAAGCCTCCTACGGGTGCCGGACATGCAGCACCGACGATACCTGCTGCCTCTGCAGCAAATGCTTCGATGCGACCGATCATACCGGCCACATGGTCCGAATCAACATCTCGATAGGTAACAGTGGCTGTTGCGACTGTGGTGATCCGGAGGCGTGGAAGAACCCAATGTTCTGCACGATCCACTCACACTGGGAACACGGGGAGTCGAAAGGAAAGGGAAAGGAGGCAGCAGGACTGCCAGAAGACCTGGTTACGAGCATCAGAATGACCATCGGCCGAGTGCTCGACTACATGTGCGATGTCATTTCCTGCGCGCCCGAACAACTGCGACAGACGAAGACGGCTGAGTCTATCAAGCAAGATGAGAAGATGTCTAGACTCTCCTCAACATATGGGCCGATTGACAACGACGATGACCCTGAAGAATATGCTATTTTGCTGTGGAATGACGAGAAACACACCGTCGTCGAGGTACGAGATCAGGTTGCAAGGGCTTGTCGTGTACCCCTGAGAGAAGGTCTGGAGAGGGCTTATGAGACTGATGCCATTGGCCGGACCATTCTAAAATACGATGAAAGCATAGAAAGGCTGCTGGAGGTCGCCAACATCTTGGAGCAAATCCGGGTAACCGTTACTATCCGTTCGTCTCGCGATACGTTCCGAGAGCAGATGTGCGGTTCGATGATTGAATGGCTTAGCGACATCTCTGGGTGCAGTGTTGGCCATGATCACTTCATCCTACGACAAATAGTCTGCCAAGAGCTCCTGAAACCCTGGAGGAGGGGTAGCCCAGCCAGCCATGCTATTGTCGGGAAGAACGGTATCGATGATGAAGATCTTCTCGAACAGCGTGATGACAGAGAAATAGTCACCCTTGCACACATGAGAATTCTTGCACAGGCTAGGGTTGCTGCTCAAACTGTGGAGGTCGTCGACGATAGCGACGACGATGACGCAGACATGGAAGGTGGCAACAGGACTCCGTCAAGTGGGGAGATAGACGAGGACGAAGATGACGACGATGTCATGATGGTGGACGCTCGGGCTGATGTGGCTGGAGACGTGAACATGTCTGACTGGAGACAAGGTGGCCCTGACACAGCGCTCGAAGAAGACGAGGCAACCATGGCGGGCTATCTCCCTCCTCCACCTCCTCCACCAGCAGCCCCCCGCCGGAATATGCGTGATCGTGATCTCACACCTTCCGATTCCGATACCGCGGAACCTTTAATAGCGCCAACCGTTTATGCTAAGGCAAACCTCGAGATACCCAAGACGCCAGGCGTGGCACAAGATGAGAAGTCGTCACCCCCAAAACCAGGCCGATATTGGCTTGGATCTCCTGCAGCCTACATGGAACGAGAGAATGTGCCGCCGTCAGAGGATCTGTTCCAAAGAGTTCGTCTTGACTGGATGATTCTCTTCGACCTACGAATGTGGAAGAAGGTCCGCAACGATCTTCGTTCGCTGTACATCTCCACCGTTGTCTCTATTCCTGAGTTTAAACGTGTACTTGGGCTGCGTTTTGCTGCCTTGTACACAACATTAGCCCAGCTCTATCTTATCGCCGACCGCGAGCCCGACCACTCTATTATCAACATCTCCTTACAAATGCTTACTACGCCGTCTATTACTGCTGAGGTTGTGGAAAGGGGCAACTTCTTAACGAATCTAATGGCCATTCTATATACCTTCCTGACAACGCGACAAGTTGGACATCCCTGGGATGTGTCATCAACAGCGGTGCTTGCATTCGACACCGGCTCTGTTACCAATCGGCGCATGTACCACTTCTTCCAGGACCTGAAGTATCTCTTCGGGTCGCCTCACGTTCAAGAGCGCCTCCGAACGGAGGAGAGATACACAATGCAGTTCCTCGACTTGGTGAAGCTTCATCAGGGCATATGTCCCAATGTGCGCGCCATTGGCGAACATGTCGAGTACGAGACCGACACTTGGATAAGTGCCTCATTAATTACTCGCGAGATAAATCGTCTATGTCGTCAATTCTCCCAGTCATTCAGCAATCTCAAGGATCAGGACTCACTTTGTGTTTCTCGAGCCATTCGGCTCGCTGCAAAGAGTGTTATTATGAATTCGATTGGTGCTGAGCGGTCACGCTTTAGCCAAGCTGAAATCAAAGACGAAGTACGGTTCAAGACCCTTGCTGATTTTGAATTTGACGGCGGTTCATCTAAGTATGAAGTTGTAAAATTCGTGGTGGAAGAGCAACCAATTAGTTTCCACCATGCACTCCATTACACGCTATCTTGGCTCATCGAGTGTGGGAAGTCGATGACAAGGGAACAGTTACGCGCTCTCCTAAGTTTCACGACACAAGAGCTTAAGATGAAGCCACACTCGATGGGACGAAAGATAATGCCCAGGCGCGACTATACCCCTGAAGACTATCTTATGGCAGCATTTGACTATCCTCTTCGTGTGTGCGCATGGCTCGCCCAGATGCGCGCGGGAATGTGGGTTCGCAATGGCATGAGCTTACGACATCAGGCAGGAACATATCGTGGTGTTATGCAGAGAGACGTCTCACATCATAGGGACATTCTGCTGCTGCAAACCGCGTTGGTTATTTGTGATCCTAGCCGAGTCCTCGCCTCGGTTATCGACCGATTTGGCATGGAGAAATGGGTCAAGGGTTTCTTTGAACAGAAGTCGACGGCTCAAGATGACGCCCAACATCTCGATGTCATTGAGGACATGATACATCTCCTCATTGTGTTGTTAAGCGACAGAGCTTCACTCATCCGAACTGAAGACGAGCCCGATGGCCAGATACTAGCTATGCGCCGGGATATTACTCATGTACTCTGCTTCAAACCTCTTTCGTTCTCCGAAATTTGCAATAAGCTACCGGATAAATTCCAGGAGCAGGAAGAGTTTCATCGGGTGCTGGATGAGATGTCAACCTTCAAAGCTCCTGAAGGAATTTCTGATATCGGTACATTCGAGTTGAAGCCACAGTACATCGAAGACGTCGACCCCTACATTGCCCATTACAACAAGAATCAACGAGAAGAGTCCGAAATGGCCTATCGAAAGTGGATGGCAAAGAAGACCGGCAAACCGGTTGAAGACATTGTGTATGAGCCCAAACTCCGTCCGATTCCAGCCGGTGTGTTCACTGGTTTGGCGGATTTCACTAACACGGGCATGTTTGCCCAAATAATCTACTACTCGCTCCTCTACCCCCTTGTCTCACAACGACTTACGCCCAATGTCCCCTTCACGCGGGTGGAGACCTTCCTCCAGGTAGTGCTCCACCTTCTTCTGATCGCAATTACAGAGGATAAAGCACGCGAAGAAGATCCATCTCAGCCATCATTCATCCACCTTGCGCTCACACAAATAGCAAGGAGCAACTTCATGCCTGAAGCGCCAGGAGCAAAGACCATTGTGGCTCTTCTTGACATGATGTCAACGAAGGAGAATCTCAAGACATGCCATCCAAAGATTGCACTCATCCTGAAGAGAATGCGCCAAAAACGCCCCCGCGACTTTGAAGCTGCCTACATGCGACTTGGTGTGCCAGTGGACCGCATCAGTACCGCATCTCCAGCGAACGCTGCGAATGCGGATGAGGAACGTGAGAGAAAGAAGAGAGCAGCTCTAGACCGCCAAGCCAGGGTAATGGCGCAGTTCCAGCAACAACAGAAAAGCTTCATGGCCAACCAAGTTGACATAGACTGGGGCGATGTTGATGATCTCGAGGAAGACGAGCTTCCAGAGCCCGAAGAGAAGAAGAACTTTTGGAAATACCCGACTGGAACCTGCATTCTTTGTCAGGAAGATACCGATGACCGCCGGCTCTATGGCACATTCGCATTTCTTAGAGAGAGTCGAATATTACGCCAGACAGATTTCCAGGATCCTGACTTCGTTCGCGAGGCGGCTAATACCCCCAGAAACCTCGATCGATCAGCTGAAAACATCAGGCCTTTTGGTATTGCCCATGAGAATCGTAAGATAGTTCAAAAAGTCAACGCCGCAGGCGAAACGTTTGAGGCAGAACGACAAACAATTGGCAAGGGATTTCCTTACAAATGCATTAGACCCGGCCCAGTTTCCATTGGCTGTGGTCACATAATGCATTACAGCTGCTTCGAGATCTATTTCGAAGCGACAATCCAACGACACAAGCAGCAAATTGCTCGCCACCACCCCGAATTTACAGAGCGTCAGGAGTTCGTGTGTCCGCTGTGTAAGGCTCTTGGCAATGCATTCTTGCCAATCATCTGGAAGGGTCGCGAAGAGTCATATCCTGGTGTACTCAACTCAGATGATGCGTTCGCAAGTTTCTTAGATGAAGAGATAACCCAAGCAGCTTATGCTCTCGGCAATGAGAGTCCTGCCGACAAAACCTCACAAATCGTCTTCGCTAGACATACGAAATCTAGTTTGCTTCCGAATCTGGCAGAGAAGGCATCCCAACTAGTAGCTGAGGCTTGGGGTTCTGCATCGCCGTCCCGATCAAGTGGTACCCCGTTCAGTGACAGCTTTGGCGGTATCTCGACTCCAGACTCTAGTGGACGATCCGGTTCAGTGCCAGCTGATGGAAGCAATTCTATGACGGAGCTCGTGACGGTCTATCGCCGTCTCAGGGACACCGTGAAGAAGAATGAGCTAGTGAGCAGTCATATACATGAGCAGGACGAGAATGAGAACGATCTGAGCCACAGCGATGTATTAGCTCACGCTGTGGGCTTTTCCATATCAGCTGTCGAGATTCAGCAGCGTGGCATCGATTCTGAATACGGCTCCACGCTATTGGAGAAGATTCCTGAACAGGTGTTGACACATCTCCGGATTCTCGCTGAAACCGTCGAATCGTACATTGCTATCGGTGGCCAGAAGTACGGTGGCGATAATCGAATTAGTACCGAGTTTCGACGGGACAGTGAACGCCAACATTGCCAACTTTTTATCGGTCAATACTTTGGTAAGGAGACCGATAACGCTCGCCGCCCTGTGGAGGCGTACAAGCCACTTCTGAGTCTTGACCCTTTCGTCTTCCTGTGTGAAAGCGTATTTGGTGTTTCACAAGCTCATGGTATCGAGATCCCGAACCTGTTACGGCTTTGCTATCTAGCAGAGATTGTGAAGGTCGTGTATCACATGGGACGCAATCAGCCCGCTGCCCAGTGGATTCCACATTTCATTAACCGCCAAAACGCCGATCCTGCATTGAACAACTTCGCCGAATTCTGTCTATCCATTGCCACCATTGACATGAACAATGTGGCTCAGTTCAATGGTTCGTGGCAACCTCATGGCGACAACAAGGGCTTCGATCAGCCCGGTTTCGAGTCACTGCAAGGGTACTATAACCTTGTCAAGAAATATGCTCTGGCGTTCTTGCGAAAGTCTGTGGTCCTTCTTTATGTCAAGTACGGCGTAGACTTCAACAGCCATATCTCTCCCAACCCAGAACAAGACGAATTAGAGCGACTCACGGAGACCCTGCGTGTGCCATCTTTTGATGAGATGTGCACCTCACTAACATCTTTTGGGAGCAATTATGGATGGCCTTCAAGCACACACGGGCTAGTCGACGGTTGGATCAAACATGAGATCGTTGGCAAGCAGAAGCATGACTTCCCGCCGGCCTCCGCGCTTGTCAGCCACCCAGGCATCTTCGAGCTGGTAGGCTTACCTAAGAACTACGACTATCTCATCGAGGAATGCACACGTCGACGCTGCCCAACAACTGGCAAGGATATTTCAGATCCGATGATATGTCTTCTCTGCGGAGACGTCTTCTGTGGTCAGGGCATCTGCTGTCTCGCGGAGGAGCCGCGCTCTCGAGGCCGGTCTTCTAGGCGAATCGGTGGGGCGCAGCAGCACATGAGAGTGTAAGTGACAAGGCAGGTGCAACTGAAAAGCTGCGACAGTGTACTAATTTATTTTCTTTCACGCAGATGCCAGAAGAACGTCGGCATGTTCATCAATATTCGCAAGTGTGCCGCGTTCTATTTGCACCGCACCTCAGGGTCGTGGAGCAACGCGCCATACATCGATAAGTACGGCGAGATGGACATGGGACTACGTCACGGGCGCCAACTATATCTCAACCAGAAGCGCTACGACAGCATGCTGCGCAACATGTGGCTAAGTCATGGGGTTCCGAGCTTCATCAGCAGGAAGCTGGAGGCGGATATCAACAATGGTGGATGGGAGACGATCTAGACGACACCGGAGTTAACAGGCCCATTCGGGTTGGATGAATTGGGAGATGTTGTACCAGCATGACTATACCAAATCATAGGAAGCAGTCCAGCGCACCAGGGCATACTCAGCCAGCTCTTGAAGGCGGTTTTTGAGCTATTATTGATAGAAGTTGTGTACGAATTTGATAGACATCACGCTACGAGCACGATTACACAACCCAAATATGAGGATCATGCATTAATTGTTTTATTGGGCTCGTGCTTTCTTTTTTTACCCAGCGCCGCCGTCGCTATGATTAGTGTTCCGTATCCGTCCCGTGAGTATCCTCATATTCGTCATATCGTAGTCATGGACAGAAGATCGTAATCTCTCTCCCCAACGAACTTGTCGTATCTATGCTCACTCGATGTCTGTTGAGATGTCCATCTCTTCCGGCAGTCCGTTTTCCTGCCCATTCTCCTCGTCCGGGTCGTTGGCAGGGTACGCACCGCCGTTAGCCTTACTGTGCCCATTCACCGCCGGCCGGTCCCCTTTCCTCCCATGATGTTTATACACGACTATGCGCCCGTCTTGCCCACAGCTCACCATCGAGTCGCCATGGACGTCAACCCAGAAGCAGACCCCGTCGTGTGCACCGTCGATGCGCTGCACGACCTCCTTGGTCTTGGCGTCCCACAGGACCACGGCGCCGTCCTCGCTGGCGGACGCGATGAACGAGGACGTCTGCCCGGACTCGTCGTCCTCGAGGGTCCCGAACCCGCCGCCGACGCTGAAGCCGTCGTTGGCGTGGCCCTGGTACGTCTTCTTGACAGTCGAGGGCATGCTGACAAAGTCCCACATGCGGATGCACGAGTCCAGATAGAAGGCCAGCACGAAGCGGCCGTTGGGCGAGAAGCAGACCGAAGTCACGGCCGGGTTGTCTTCGTGCACGAGGGTGCGCAGGCATTGGCCCGTGGAGGTGTCCCAGATGCGGCTGTATTGCCGTTAGTTATATAATTTAGGGGGAGACGGTATAGAGATGGTGAGGCGACAACTTACATCAACCCATCTGTCGAGCAGCTCGCCACCAGCGTCCCGTCCCGACAGAAGTCAATACCGCTGACCGGGTCACTGTGGGCGGGCAAGCTGCGCATTAGGCGCCCCGCACGCACATCCCACAGGAACACGGCCTCGTCGTAGCTCCCACTGGCCAGTATGTTGCCTTTTGGGGAGAAAGCTAAGCAGTAGACGTAGTTGTGGTGACCCACCAGCGGACGCCGCCCTCCTCCGCCCCGTCCCGTGGCGCCACCGTCTCTCCTCACGCGGCCCCGCGCAGCATCGCCGGTCTCGACCGCATGCGCCGGGTTGGCAGTCACTCGATCCCATAGCCTGATTGCCTTGTCGTCACTCCCCGTCGCAAGGGTACCGCTGTCCGGACTCCACGCCAGGCAGGACACGCCGGCCATGTGGCCTACCAACGTGTCCATGTGAGCGCCGGTTGCCGCATCCCAGACCCTGGCGGTGCCGTCTGCCGACGCGGAGGCAATCCAGCGTCCGTCCGGAGATATGCGCACTTGAGATATAGGCTTCTCATGTCCTCTCATCTGCAGTCGTTTGCGGTAGTTGGGGCGAGCTGGACCCTTTCGGCGAGGGGTAGGCGATCGGGAGCTTGATCCTCGGGGAGTATCGCGGCGGCGTGAAGTGGAGGACGATCGAGACCGGGACCTGGATCTGGAGCGTGAATCCGACGGCGTTCTCGACCTTGAGTGCGTTCTGCTTCGAGAACCCGATCCAGAGCGTGACCTAGATCTTGATCGTGACCGTGGAGAGCGCGATCGCGATTGCGAGCTCGAATAGTAGCGCTTCTCATCTTTGTCGCCCTCTTGGCTACCGCTCCTACTGCGCGACCGACTTGGTGGGCGTCCCCTGCGTATTGACAGACTGCGTGTGTGAGCCTTGCCACTCGGATAGTTGCGGCGATCCGAATTGTCACCCTCGTCGTCGTCTGGGGAGCTGTAACCTGGTGAAGAAGCAGCGCTGCCATCGTTCACCCTCCGGCGCTTGGGCGCAGGCGCGTCAGCGGCAGGGGTTGCGCTGCTTGCCATGGCGACTCTCCAGGACCCTGCTCTGCCGCTGTGTTCCTCTCAGTGTCCACAAGGTGGAATAGCTGGGCTCAGATAATTCAGGTGAGCGGCGGATATCAGCGTCAGGAAGCTGTCTGGCAAGGCAGGACAAGTAGAAGGCAAGGCGTAGACGGTGTGCGGGCCAATGACGAGGCTGAAGACTAGCGATGGGGTTCGAAATTTTGGCTAGGGATGAGCAGTGGGAGCGGCGCGTGCTCGGGAGGGGCTCAGGTACCGATTGGTCAATTCAAGTGCCTGAGCGTCTGAGGGCCTGCCCGGCCACAGCGCTAAGACAGCTAAGAGTCACCTAGGGCGTGGTAGATTCGAGGGGCGTTGTGACGTCTCCGCAGAACGTCTGAGCGAAACCAGACTTTCATGCAGACATCCCTGAACCTGACCTGCAAGAACTCCAAACATCGCGGAGGCCAAACAAAGGAAGCAAGACCTCCGGCGGTGCAGGCTTCCTGTTATGCTGCGTTATGATGCTCATTGGCACAGGCATAATGTCTTTTTCTATATAACAACCAAAACAACTGTCCTGATATCCCACTCTCAATCTTTCTTCGTCAGTCTGCTTAGTTTGAGGTCTCAAGTGAGATCGATCTCCTCGTCTTCGCTCACCTCGGAACCTCCGGTGATCTTTACAACGTCAGCTGAAGAGCTTCTGCAATCTGTTTCCGATCTCGGCGAAACAAAGCACAGCTCGTAATGGAGGAACTGCCCACCGAGATCAACATCATCACCCTCAACTGCTGGGGCCTCAAGTACCTCTCCAAGCTCCGACATGAGCGCCTGATCGAGATCGGGCGGCAGCTGGCTTCTGCACAGCCAGTGCCGCACGTCGTCGCCCTGCAAGAGTGTTGGACGCAGGAGGACTACCAGGCCATCCGGCGCCAGACTCGCCTCATCTTGCCATATGGCAAGTTCTACTTCAGCGGCGCCTTTGGCGGCGGCCTGGCCATCCTCTCCCGCTGGCCCATTGAGGAGAGCACCATGTTCCGCTACCCGCTCAACGGCCGGCCCACGGCCTTCTTCCGCGGCGACTGGTTCGTCGGCAAGGGCGTGGCTTGCGCAAAGATCAGGTTCGGTCCCGGGCCAAAGCATGTCATTGAGGTGTTCAACACGCACGTGAGTGTAGTCTACCCAGTCACGGGCAGCCGGGGATGAGACTAACACGACATTGCAGACTCATGCCCCCTACGAGAAGGAGCCCAACGACAGCTACGTCGTGCACCGGACCGCACAGGCCTGGGAGATGGCCAAGCTCATCCGCGGCGCCGCCGAGCGCGGGCACCTGGTGCTGGCGGCAGGCGACTTCAACATGAAGCCCCTGTCGCTCGCGCACCGCCTCGTCACGACGCACGCGCCCGTCCGCGACGTCTGGCGCGTGCTGCACCCGGACTCGAGCGTCGGCGCCGCCGAGGACCGGCCCGAGCAGGCGCGCCGGCGGCCCATCCCCACGGCCGACTTCAACGTCCGCGAGAACGGCGTCACCTCCGACTCGGTGTACAACACGTGGCGCTGGACCAAGAAGCAGCAGAGGCTGCTCGGCCCGGGGCGCCCGCCGTGCACCGTGCCCCCCGACAGCATCGACCGCCGCGGCAAGCGCCTCGACTACGTCTTCGCCGGGACGGGCGACGTGGCCGCGCTGGGCGGCGGCTGGGTGGTGGCCGATGCGCGCGTGGGCATGACGGACCGCCACCCGACGCTGCAGTGTAGCCTCAGCGACCACTTCTCCGTCGAGGCGACGCTGGTCTTCCACCAGATGCATCAGCGGCGGCCGCGGCGCGGCACCGTCGGTGGCGGCAGGGGAGCCGAGGACGAAGAGGACGCCGCCGTGCGCGATGGGACATATCTCGTCTCTCCTACTGCGTCCACATTCCGCGGGTCAAGGACCTTCGATGAGCAGCTAGCAGCCGCCCAGTCGAGGGAAGATGACTTCCTTCCCGGATCAACATACGACGAGATCCTGGCCATGATTCACAAGTACGTCGCCCGCGAGAAGAAACAACGCAAGTGGCGCGGGCTGCACTTCTTCGCATGGGTTGGCATCACGATTGCATGCTACGTGGGCGTGTGGTTCAGCCCGAGAAACTTCGTGGCCTTCATACTGATGGTGCTGTGTAGTCTCGGACTGACAGCGGGGACGGTAGATGGGCTGATCTCGTTGCTCTTCGTCAATTCTGAGCTGAGAGCATTGAAGGAGTTCGAGTGGGAGATAATAAATGCGAAAGCCACAGCTTCAGGCAGCCCTCCACTAGCGCAAGACGAGGATGAAAAGGGCTGGTAGAACAGCACCAACATGGATAGTAATTAGAAGACAAAAATCACCCCTGTGGTCTCTAGGTCAAAGATGTTGAGTGTGTAAAATGCTTTGATAGGCTCATACTGTCTATTGCTACTAATGAGCTCCGTCCAAACCTTCTTTTCGCATCCTTAACGCCGCTATTCTCAGCCTCTTATTGTTTTTCTCTTGGCACCTTATATTCCAGACCTTTTCATGCTTCGATCTCAATTGACACTCAATCGGTGCCGGTGCAACGCTCTCAGGGCTGCCATATCCGCGCCGACTCTATGTACGCTTCCCCTATCATAGAAACCCTGCGGGCGCGACATGCGACGCCAAGTATACCCCAGGAAGGCATTCGATTTTCTTACATCCATCGCTACGTCCTTGGTGTTTACGTCCCGCAGTAGTCGGTCCCTTGGTCGCTTTCGCTCCTTCTTGCCATAGACCCGAACAATCTGTTTCAAAATATCACGTTCGTTGTCGTCCAGAGCCGGATCTGCATCAATTCTGCCATCAATGTTGCGTAGGCGGATAGTGTCGTACGGCGTGGCGATCTATGCCTTTGCCAAATTTTGGAGACTGCCTCTGAAGCCCCCTAATGCCTCCTCTATCTCGGCGTCACGAAGACGCTTCTTCTCACTTCCAGGAGTTGCCTGTCGTCCAACAGCGAGAGATCCGCTGAACGAGGCGTTGGCACTGTGGCCATTTGGTAAAGAGGAAGACTCCACTACATTCGACTCAGTACTCTCGGATTCGGAATCAGACCAGTCACTGATCGGCTCCTCTTCTTCAAAATACTGAGTGTCATCAATCGAGCGGATCTGTGGCACGAAGGGTGGTTGGAGCTCATGGAGGTGCTCCCAAGGGATTCCTTTGAACCATTTATGTGCCTTGATGTCCTCAGCATCATATGGAAACACATATCTTCCCGAAAACTCCTTCCCGATGTGGCTGCTATTGACTATGCGCGATGTTTGCTGCATGTCCTTGAAGTGATAACGTCTGGAACAGAGTCGCTCCTCCTTGTCTTGAATAAGTGAGGCAATGAGATTTTGGCATCTGTGTGAGACTGCCGGGCGGGATGGGAAACCAAAAGTGACTTGATGATTCTAACCCATGTATCAGCCCCGAAAGTTGCTAGAAGTTGCCAGGGTGAAACTTACCAGAATGTTCTGCTTCGTCTGGTGCCGCCCTTCATCAGCTAGAAAGGGGGTGTGGCCATAGAGACATTCATAGAGAATGACACCGATGCTCCACTAATCACAGCGGCCGTCATATGGCTTCCCTTGTACTACCTCAGGGGCCATATATTGACTTGTACCTACGACAGAAGTTGCAGCTGTACGAGTTCCACAACGATTGCGCCAATTCAGCAATGGCTCGCCATCAGAAAGATCCTTTTTGTCATGCCTCTCTATAACGGCCCGAATGTTGGTTATCCACTTCACCGAGGCTGACAAGCTCTTTGCGTCGCGCTTGTCCGTGTCGTCGCCCTCGACATGAAGTTTTAGTTTGTGTACCAGGGAATATCGGTGAGCGCTATAGTAAGATGTATCGTGAGACCAGTGACCGTCAAAGGCAAGTCCGAAATCTGATATCTTCAGATGTCCCGTAGCTGAAATCAGGAAATTGTCTGGCTTGATGTCTCGATGGATACACTTGAGAGCGTGCGCCTCTTCTATGCAAATGATCATTTCGGCAATATAGAAGCGTGCGACGCTCTCATGCAAAATATTTTCTCGAATTAGAAGTCCAAGGAAATCCCCGCCAGGCATGTACTCCATCACTAGGTACAGATTCGAAATGTCTTGGAAGCTTGCAATTAGGGGTACGACCCTGGCAGGCTGTTAGTAAATCCTGAGCGAACTTAGAGCATCAGACCTACCATCTGGATCCTTCGGAAGCAACCAGAAAGTCTCTCTCGGCTCTCAGATGACCCTCTTGGCAACTTCGAAGCATGTCTGATTTGCGGATGACCTTCATGGCGTAGACTTGCTTTTGGGAGGGGTGTTCCCCTCGTATTGCTTTCTCTCGTACAAGGCGCACTACACTAAAGCTTCCTTTCCCGAGAATCTTGACAACATCGTAATCTTCACAGGCAGAATTTCTTGTAGTCCTCCATGGGTAGCGTGCCCGAATGCTGCAGATTTTCATCGCTCGAGTTCGTCGCAAATGCTCTGATTCTTGCTGATAGAATGCTTGCAGGATGTTGTCCCGTTCGGTTGGACTGAGGTCATCACTTATCTGGTATAAGTCGCTCCCGAGCAGATGGCGCCGCAAAGAACGAGGACTAGGCTTAGACATGGCCTCATTGTAGAAGGTCTCCAGGTATATCTTGGCGGCAGCTGCTTTCTCAACAGTCGCGATGGTCGGAGTGACTTGGCATTCAGGGCCAAGCTCTTCGATGGTTCCGAGAATTCCATCCGGGCTGGATCCGTTGGCTTGGTTTCGGCGTCTGCTCTGGGACCCCCTTTTCTCGGAAGAGTGGTTGTCCTTGCTTGACGAGAACTTCGAGTCCAAAGAGGTCTCAGCCGTCGACTCAGCCGGTTTAGAGGAGTTGCCACTGTTGTCTGGACTGGAAAACGTGTTTGAATTGGAAGACAGGTCCATGGTGAAAGGAGGATTTCCCATCGTCATCTCCTAGGATGGAAGAGATGGCCGTCCTTTCGCAGTACTCCGGTGGACTATCGTCGGTGCCGAAGGGATATGAAAGAATGACGACGAAATTTTACCGAATCCGCTACACAAGGCAAATCTCCCTTTCGGTGTACGCGGCGGTGTCGGACTTGGATTCTGGTTTGCTGGGACCGAGATGCTTGTCTCTTCAAGATAATTAGCCGCGGGTAGACAACAATCTAAGAGATCAGACGCCTGACCAAAAGCACTGCTTCTCAGCCGCTGAATGATTGTCCAGACTCTGGAACCCTTGCGCCGCACTTTGGATGGAGGAGAGCGATCGCCAGTCAATCGGGAGATGTCGATTTGAGACAGGCTCGTGATGTAGCCCTGGCCAGGCGATACGTCGAAGTAGGTCGGAAGGCTCTCCTCAACTGACAGTGCTCGCTTCATCGTGGGCCGATATGGCGTATGTTACTCCAGCGCGAGCGACCAGGGCCAGTATGAAGCTTGATACGAATGCTATTAATGAGTGACGATATTAGACATGCAAGGCACCCAAAGGCCGTGATTAGAAGACGACACGAGAGATCACAGTTGTGGTGAGGTGGCCAAATCGGGGATTGTGTGTGACGAAAAGGAACTGGGCTTTCTTTGGACGCATCGTTCCTTCTTCGCCTGGACGCATATAGCATAGAGACAGCGAGATCAGGAAGGTGCAAATTAAGTGAGAATATTGACTTCATTGGGAAGGAGTATCCGTTACTACCTACACACGGCTGCTGTACAGCCAAGAAAGAGTCGTGTGAAAAGGAAATATCGAGAGAGAAAAAACCAGCCAAAACAACCCTCTTGCTTTTTATACGCCAACCATGCAATGCAGACCTCGTCATCCCATCTACAAGCCTGCTTCCCGCGTCTGATGTTGTGACCGGATCCTCGCAGACTGCGCGCAGGTCAGAAGACTCCATCGCGGCGTCGAGATAGGAAATCGTCACAGTGAGATTAAGACTCCTACGGGCATTATATCGCCAAACCACAATACCGGGCGGAGGAATATGCCCAGCGAGAGTGTAGAATACAGAGATAGTGTCAAGGTTTCGACTTCAAACGAAGATGGAAATGTCGACACGGATCCACCCGCAGGCCCTTCAAACAAGCTTTAAGGTATGATCAGACAGGACATCATCCATCGGGATGCGCTTATTTGATCTCCAGAAGCTTGACGTCGAAGATGAGGGTGCTGTTCGCCGGGATGCCGGGGACACCCTTGCTGCCGTAGGCGAGGTGTGCCGGGATGGTCAATCGTCGTTCACCACCAACAGACATACCAGCAATGCCGATATCCCAACCCTTGATAACCTCACCCTTTCCAATTCGGAAGCTGAACGGGGCACCCTTCTTGTTCGCTTCAGAAAATTAGCTAGAAATCCAGTGAGAGATGTGATAGAAGGCACACTTACAGTCGAAAACCTTGCCGTTCTCGAGCTTGCCAATGTAGCGCATACCGACGCGGTCACCGGACTTGACAGTGCGGCCGCTGCCGAGCTTTCGGTCGTCAACGGTCACGCCTTGAACGACCTTGACACCTAGGCCAGCCTTCTTGTCGCCCTGCTTAGCTTTCTCAGCAGCCGAGCCAGTGGGACCTTGCTCTAGATTCTTTGCAAATTGTACCTTCTTGTCTGCCTTGGTAGGGGTGTCCTTAGCAGCCTCCTTCTCGACCTCGACAGGCTTGCCCTCGTTGTTCTTGAGCTTCTTGGCTTGCTTCTTGCTCAACTTGGGCTCCTCAGTCTTGGACTCCTTGGCGATGAGCTCGTCGAGACCATCAGCATCCTCTGAAGCCTTGCGCTTGTTCTTGCCCTTCTTGGCCTCCACTAGCTTGGGAGCCTCCTCCTCGTCAGTGTCAATCTCCTTCACGCGGGAAATCTCGTCAATGTCATCGAGCTCATCCTCGGACTCGGACTCATCACCAACGAGATCCTCAAGCTCGGGCGGCAAATCGTAGTCCTCGTCGTCGCTGTCCTCCTCGCTATCAGAGGCGGCATCCTCGTCAATGACGTAGTTACCAGTGAGGTGAATAGTGTGAGTGCCAGAGACAATGAAGAAGGCGTGCTCGCCCTCGTTGATGGTAACCTCAAGAGGCTGCTGGAAGTTCTAATTCATCGCGTAAGTAGGTATACTCCTAGATAGTCGACGAGATCGAATACTTACTCGCTCGGTATCCAGAGTGCAGACGACGAACTGCTCGAGGTTGTCGAGGGGCAGGTCATCCTCGTCATCAGAGTACTCCTCAGAGTCCTCCTCCTCATCGTCATCCTCCTCCTCGAGGGCCTTCTCCTTGCCCTTGCCAGCCTTGACGCCATTGGCCTTGGGCTTCTCATCATCGTCCATCTCCTCATCGGAGTCCTCATCCTGAGTGGCCTCCATCAGCTTCTTGAGGGCCGCGGCACGACGGGCCTTCTTGGACTTGGAGGGGTCGCTGGGGCCGCCATTTGCCTCCTCGTCGGACTCCTCCTCCTCGTCAGAATCATCGTCGTCCTCGGCGCCGAGGAGCAGGTCGCGAAGGTACTCGTCGTCCTCATCCTCGTCCTCGTCAATGTCGCCAATGCGCTGCTTGATGAGCTTAAGGGTAGAACGGGGAAGACGAGGGACCTCGGAGTCCTCCTCGACCTCCTCAGTGGGGTCGATGGCCGCCATGGTGATGCGGATCTGGAAGTTGAGTTAGCAGCCATCATTTCTTGTATGCGACCAAAAGCTGAAAGGAAACAAAGGGCCAAACAGTGGTATGATCATTCCAGATTCAATGGGAGAGGATGAACTTACAGTGGCAGGGAAATCCTGCTGGACGGGGATCATAACCTCGCCGGGAGGGACCTCGAGCCCGAAGAGGGCAACAGGCTGCAGCGGCGACATTGTGATTGGTGTTTTTGTCGGTACGAACGGGATGGTAGAGGGGATGGAAAGAGTGAAGAATTGATCAGCCGTAGTCTTCAACTGAGTGCGGAATGATCAAGGCAATCTCTAGGGGAGGTAGAGATTTTTTTTGGTTAAATTTCTTCGCTGAAGCAGAAGAAGTACGAGAGGCGGACAAAAGAAGTGAGAGAGAGCTCTTCCCGTTGCCTCGAACTTTTTTTCTGCCCAGAAAATTTTGGGGGATTTCTTGCAGAACCCCACCCATTGGCCGCTAGCCAGTCCGATAAGCCTCTTATCGCAGCCTTGGCCACACGACGCTTCACCCAGCCAACCGAGACATATTGACCCACTAAAAAGACTAAAAGAGTCCCCTACATTTTAGCTGGCTGCAGGCGGTAGAGCACTTTGTTAGAATGTGCAACGGGAGGTCCACCAGGCACTAAACCCAATTGCACTTCACCGCATATTCACGGCAGGTGTAGCTGGATCGGTATGATCAATCGCTACATTGGCGTAAACCCTCTCTAAAAAGTTGCCGAACACTCGATCATTCATCAGCAGAGGACATTCTGGTTAGGGGATCAACAATGCCTCCTCTGATCAAGACAATCAACTTCATATCCATAGGTATCAGAACACCCTGGAGCTAAATCTTACAGATGGTATGTTCAACCATGTGCCAATCACCTCCACCCAACTCTGAGACCCCTGATGTGGGATCGATCAGGAGCTCTTTGCTTTCCCGACTCCCATCACCCAAGCCTTCAGCAACTGCCATACGATCCCAATCGTGAATGCTGTTTGGCCTACGCCATACTTCTGTGGCCGGTCTCCAACGTCCGCCATGTTCGTGGCAATTTCCACAATCGGCGATGGAAAGTGCTTGCTCTGCCGTGCATAAGCTGCAACAAGGTCATTGCCGTTTGTTACGCCTCCTATAATTTCCCAAAAAGAAAAAGTCTCTGATCAGTTTGACTCTTGAACAAATGTGAGGGGACCGTGGCCAGCCAGCATTGCCATATTGCCATGACTAGTGCTCATGGAGTGCAAAGGAAGAGTCAGAAGAAACATACCGCTTGACCAAAAGTTCCCATCTTGGATCCACCGTAACTCATGTCCAAGAAGAGTCACATCTGGATACTTCTTCGAAACATCGTCCTGCAGTCCTCTCGGGCCGCACGCCTTCTTTCCCTTCAACAACCCTGCCTCGCCGAACAGGTAAATGCCGGTGCAAACGCTCAAGCAGTCCGTAGTCTTAACGGCCATTTGCGCTCGCAACCATTCCAGCACATCCTCACTCCATTTCCCATCTGGCGCCGGTCCCGGCACGAGTACGATGTCGAGCTTCCCCGGCGCGACCTCTGGGTCGCTGAGGTGATGCGTGATCGGAGTCTTTACGCCGGCCGTCAGCGGCGTGAGCGTGCCCGGAGCCGTGGTGCCAACGTAGGCAATCCAGACCTCCGGGGCCAGCTCGGACACGTGCTTTGGTAGGAAGGGTATGACCGACAGGTAGCCGTAGCCCATCATGCTGAAGACATCGATGCAAGCTGTGTCTAGGAGCTGGCATTCCGAGGGCATGAACACCCCAATGCGGACTGTCTTGCGGGTGCCCATGGTATAGCTATTTGAAGCTCAAGACTTCAAAGTCGCTTTGTGATATGAAATGTCGGCTGCAATATTTCCTGGTCGATGCTGTGTTAAATTAAATTGCTGAGAGCGGCTTGCTGCTTCAACTTCCGAGAAATCTCAATACCAATGAAAAGGACTCGCGCCAGCTACTCTGTCCGAGACTGGTCTTTTTATCTACCATCTTGAGTAAATCAGCTGTCGTCCTGTCTGATCATCCCTCCGAACTGTGTACGGCACCGGGTAGCTGCGAGAGATGTCTCAGTTGTAAGACCCGCAGCCCGAGTCCGAAGTCCGGCACCGTCCCCAGGGGTCATGCGCGATGTGATTGGCCAGCGCGCAGTAAAGCTCCGAAGCCCTTCGGGGCTTAACACGGAACCCAGATCCGACTCTACGGGAGCCATTGGCAATCAGCATGGACATGAGAAGGAGTCGCACAACCTTCTGGTATACGTTGTCTATTTATCAGTGTTGCGTATTTGCTTACGCATACATCATTTGAATCTGAATCTGAATCACCATGCATATGCTAATTAGACATTATTGTGGTATGTGAAATCATCCCAGGTGCTCTGCAGTCGCCGTCAGAAACACGTACTCTCTCGTTGAGATAACTTCTGAGCCAAACAAAAGGGACGCCCTGATTCCCTCGTTATTTCAGTGGCCCTCCCACTGCTGCCCGAGTCCAGTCAACCATCTCAAGTCTACCCTTCTCCTGGCTGGTGCAACGAGCGAATGCAGCGACATGGATACATTCAACAAGTCTCAGCAGCTCGCACAGCTCCAAAAACTCCAGAAGAAATGAAAACAATCATCTAGATGCTCCTCAGTCTAGGCTCCAATGCCAAATGCCATGCCATGCGCACCAACACCTATGCGTGTTATACACATATATGCACTGCCAGGAGTAACTACAACGAGTTCTCGAAAACCGGTTCCAACCCCTAGGCTCAACAAAAGAAACCAATATAATTATCCAGATTAGGATGTATCCCGAGAAAGAGGTCGCGAATTCCAGCAATTCTTCGTAGATTAGACGAAGAGCATGATCTTCGAACGTCTCATCATGCCAGCGACGCCGCCGAGAGAGATCTGCCTCGTTGTCTAGTGATCTTCTTGCTGACCGAGTACACCAAGTCCAGGGTCCAGAAGTGGGATATCTGCGCCTGCGCACATGGAATCGCACCGTATAGAGGAGCGACAAACGGCACCATGATATAGTCGATGTAGTTCCTCCTGACCGCACGGTACGAGAAATGCATGCCCTTGGCAAGACCGGCAGCGGTCATCTCCCTCTCTCGGGCAGAGACGCAGATACTGTGGAATCTCTCGTAGAGGAAGAGATACAGTGCTATCTCCATGAAGCCGGCTGTTCTGAGGACGTTGCAGGCGTCAAAGATCCAGTCAATGCCATGGACGTCAGGGTCGCCCTCGGTCACCCAGACAAACAGCGTAGACGCCACGACGAGGATGGTCATGTGAACGGGCAGAAAGTGAGCCTCGAACAGGCGATGGAAGAGGTAGAAGATACGTTGATAGTCGGGCTGTTTCAAGGTGTCACGCGTAATGTCGGAGAAGATACCGAGGCCAATAGGCTGCTCGGGATCGTGGAGTTGATCTTCAGAAATGTAAGCCTCGATGGCATCTTTCGATGGGCTGTGTAGCGGTCGGTAAGCCCTCGAGGTGTGCTTTCTCTCTTTCCAGAGCTTGAATACCTTACGGAGAGCATATCCAGTATCCAGAGCTCCCCACATATGTCGCATAGCCTGTTTGTAGCGAGCCTTTATGTCCGCGAGAAGACTACCAAGGCCCTGTCCTGCTCCCCCAGAGACGTTGGTCTGGCTTACGGGACTGAGAACGGTCCTGACGGTCAGATGACCATTAAGAGCAAAGAAACACTTGATATACATGTGTAAGTCTTCTCCAATTGCCTCTGGGTCACAGTCCCAGCCTCCAACCCGGTCGACAAGAGAAAGAGGTATAGAGTATACAGAGGTTGGTGGGGCAATTGTTGAGCCATGGTATAGACCAGACATGCCCGCGGCACACCAGAGAATGTCAGCAACGCGGACAATGGCTGGAACATTGTGTGCATTGCGATCGAATATAATTGGCGCTGCATATAGTGTACTTGTAGCTGTTTCCGGATAAGAGAGATGCATTGTGGTAATCAAGGTGAAGTAGCTCGACATCAGGTGGCTATCAGCTGCATCAAGGGGTTACTTGTTAGCACATCCACCTTCAAAGGAGTCCATAAGATTCGCTGTGAAAGATTTGGGAACAAAGCCTCTAAGAAACAGCCTCTTAGTTTGGGCAAGTATTGATGTCACCTACCATCGATTCCTGTGACAATAACATCCCTCCGAATACCCAAAGGATATTTCTCACTCAACTTGCAAGCAGCCCAGGCCATATTGCTGCCTTTGCCTGCACTTTCACCTGGGATGTCTGCCGGGTGCAGGGTAAACTCGATAGAGCGGAACCTCTTGACGAACTCAGAGATAAGAGACATGGCCTTGAGCTCGGCATTGTCCTCACGCTGTTCCATTGCCAAGTAAATCTGCCATGTGGGACATCGGTTAGCCAAGCTGGCTCGTGGAATAGGTGAAGAGGGAGAGTTATATGAGACCGGGGAGGTGGTTTTGGTGTCAGAACAGCCAATTAGCACAATCACTAACACCATGTGCAGCTGGATGCCGCTGCCAAGCGCGCAGGGCAACAGCCAATTGCCAGCCACCACCCTGGACGTCATATCTAGAAAATGCAACGCAGGAGAACTTACATCGTAGCTGTTGCGGGCCTGAGGGTGGGACGACAACACCTCCAAGGTCTCTCTCAGCGTGTCCATCTCTTCCTTGTAATTGGGAATGATGATCGCGTGAATAACTCGCTCGAAAATGACTGGGTCGCCATCCACGTAGGCTCCCAGTTCGAGGTCTATTACCTCGGAATAGGTCGCCGATCCATGAGGAGACGTGACCAGTGTTTCAGAACTTTCGAGAGAAGTGTTCGAGCTTCGACGGCGTTGAACAAGTTTGCAGTCACGAGGCAATCTGCTGTGTGTCGGTTTCCTCAAACTTCGGGTCATGTCCCAAATCGCCCAGCAGGCTCGCAGCGGAAAGGCAGAGACCAAGACGTGAACCAAGAGGCAGTAGTAGGCGAAGATAACTGTCCAATATCCGCCTCCGGTGCTCTCTATCGGTACGCTAGGGTTGCCAAGCGATTTGTAGCTGAAGCCATGCTCCTGACTGACAACAGCGGATTCCTTAGATATGACCCAATAACACAACATCAACAGAGCTATCATGGCCAGTCCTCCAGAGCGGCGCGAGCACCAGACAAAGAGTGACATGATGGCAATGTGGTGATGGAAACTTGCTCAATTGTGTACTGTTTTGCGAAGGCACAACTTCAGATGAAACGATGAAGCAATAACAGGGATGGAGCAAGAGTCTCCTCCAAAGCAATTCGACGAGGAAGAAACAGCCTTGGACGAGCAAAAGGAGGGAGGAGGCAGCTAGAATCGGGAGATGGAAACAGAACTATTGAAGAATATGAGGCTCAGAGATATGAGAAAGCGACAATGAAAGCATTATGAGCTATCAAAGATATAATTTCAAGGCAGCTCCAGGTAGCAAGGGTGTACCTCCTGTGGGACATATGAAAGATAGACTGCCAGGAGATAGTGCAGGTAGTCGAGGCGAGCTGCGACAGCAGTAGCCAAATGAAAGGGTCTGATATCGCAAATGAAAGATTGAAGGGGTCTCATTGAGTGAGGTGACGAGCTGATAGGTCAAGATTCCCAAAGCAACCCCGGGCTGCGATATGGAGTATCACGCGCCAGGCCACGCTAAAACGTGCTTTGCCGACTGGTGACGACGGCGTGGCTCTGGTAGACGATCTCACAGAATCATATGGTCGACCGCCTAATCAAGAATGGGATGGAAGGTAGCCATCTCCATTTTCTTCAGTTACAGGTGGTTGCCACATGCCTCCAAGACATACGCAGTATACACCAGATCACCTTGATGTCTCATATTATGAAGATATCGCATCGTTGAGACTTTTAGCAAGCGAGGTGGGTATCCCATTAATACGAAGATAGGTCGATGGGATATCACAATGTCACCGGCAAATGCTCCTTACCTTGTTTCTAGAACAAATCTCGCGTCAAGTATTTACACTTTACCCAGTAAAACTCTAGGACACAGGGAACGCCGAAGTCCATCGTCCTAGTCCATATCTGGTGGTCTTGCGATGATATTGCATGTACATCACTCCTCAAGCGCTAGGCAAGTCAAATGTCGCAAAACTCGCTTCAGCAATTTCTTGTTCATGGTACCGCAGCAGCCACATAGGACCATGGCCGTTTGTATGAGTTGTACCGAGAGAACTACGTAGGCAAATGCGGCTAGGGGCGACGCTTCGTAAGAGATGACCCTTCGTGAGCTGGCGTTGTCGCTTGCCATTCCAAGTCTTGACAGTCGTCTGCTTCAGAGACGAGCCCGTAACTTGGACGACGATCAGATAATAGAGATTGGAGCCCTTTTGAAGTTGTCGTATTCGTACAGTCCTAGAGCTTACACAGAGCATCGCAGTTAGATCCAGGTTCCAGGTACTCTTTCACCAGTACCAGTGTCATCTCGAGATCGCTAAATGAGTACATCTCCCAACTTCATTAATCATCCTGTCAATAATTAAGCTTCTTTACACGAAACCCCACTAGTATTGGAGTCGCACGGTGACATCCAAGTCAATGGGCCTTCAACGTGTTGCGAGCTGCATTCCCACTGGCTGGTCGCTGTCATATCCTGGTTTAAGGCTAGTGGGCGAGAGGCTTGGCCCACTAATTACGGCTCGCTGATTTCTTGCCTTTTGCAGTCACAAGCCAGCCTCCAATTGGTCACTTCTCAATCTTTAACCATTTTCAGATTTTGGTTCCACTTGATTGTACACGGAGAGGGGAGACCATACACAGGTCTGCTGTGAGCCCAAATGAAAGCTGTTGAGCTACCACTGTAATGTGGTTTAGAAGATGAATAATAGTGACTTCCTCGGACTGGTTTGCCTGAGACGCAGTCCACCTTACTTGACTGATCTAAATAGGTGAAGTCATGTTGGAAGAGGTGATCCATGGTGTAAGTCCGACCAACTCTTCACTGAGATTGATAACTTAAGATTTGAGTCAACACTGTCCTGGCTCGAGATACATTGAATGTGTTAAAATGGTATTGACTGAGCTACGCTTCGCTCTCGCAATCTAGTGTCGCCGGTAGGAAAGAACGCTTGCATCACGCTAAGCATACCAAGAGAGGCTGAGTCGTAGACCGATAAGGTAGGTGAATGGATATTGAAGCTGTTTGACATGTCGACCCGCTCCGGCGTCTCTAAAGCGGGAACATTTATCTTGTTGTCTTGACATCGGAGCGGCGCCGGCGAGACCAACTGTACGCGCGTCTCCAAGAGCTCGGACAGATACCCACCTTGCGCCGTACGGGTTTCCTACCGGCCGGAGGGTCTGACAACACTCACTGGTTCAATTCAACTCGCATTTGTTTCCAGAAGGGGCAAGTTGTTATGACGCACTACAGCGGGAGGCAGCTTCAAACTTTTCAATCTCATTGATTGTATTGGCTGTTTCGATTTATATCGTATAGATGTAAGTCAGGAAGACTACTCGCATTTTCTCAGCGAAACTCTCCACACTTTAGCAAGCATTGCATGTTCTTGTCAAGCCTAGGCTTCGCGACAGCAATGGCGCGCTGGGTCGATCTACACTGAGATAGACGCCTTCAATCACTCTCGTGGATCTGGACCGCGGACGTGTGCTTTGCCGAGGTACCTAGTACATTCTCGCCGACCATCTTCTGTAATGAAGGCTCTAAGCGATGCACTTCCAAAGTAGAGCCGTATAGGCGTGATATAGCACCGACTTTTCTAAGCTTACGAGATCATCCAATGATTTGATGTCAAGGGTGACAGTGCTAGCAAGCCTAGGTTCCGCGGATTCTCGATGGTGTGCATAGCAATGGTCATTTTCAATTCCAGTCCATCATACAACCTTCTCGAACAGCTTCTGGATTGGTTTCGCCGCCTAAGATAGTCAGTATGAACCCGCGCAATCAAGTACCGACAGATGAGACATACATCGATGAACTTCTCCAAGTCCTTATCTAGGTTCGCAAGGTCATCTCGGCGCTTCTTGTTGTCTGCGATGAGCTTTTGTTTCCTCTTGAGTAGCTCCTGCCTTTGCTGCTCCAGAGCTTCACGCTCTGCCTTCTCGTGATCGATCCGCGCCTCCATGAGGGCATTCTCATCGTCGTCGGCGTGTTCCGGATGTTGCGCCAGGAATTCCTCCACAGGGATCAGTGGGAGCTTTTGATAGATATGACTACGACAATCATCGTCAGCTCATGTTCCATCTTCAGTGCGTCAACATCAATTTTGCTGGTCACTTACTCGTAGGACTCGCACGCCGTGATCTCGCCCTGCAGATGTCGTTGCTCGTAGTAGAGGTTCTGTAGCTGCAGGTGCAATCTATCCACCTCCTGACGCGCCTCTGCCGTTTGCGCCTTGGTGTCGCGCGCAGCGAAATATGCGGCCCGGTGCAGGCCACGCAGGTGGGCCAGGTTGGTGCTCAGTTGCTTCTGCTCCTTGGACAGCTCGAGCTGCTCTTCGGTCGTCAGATGCTCGGCTTCGCTGGCTGCCGCGAGGCGATCTGCTAGGTTCAGGGCCTGCTCGCGCGCATGTTGAGAGATCTGCAGGAAAGACACCAGGCTCGCGTCGGTGACGATGGTATCGATTGTCATTTTCAGCGTCAGAGTCGCCTTAGGCGAGCTCGTATCTTCCTCGTATCGAATTTGCGAAGTTGCGAAATGGTTGCTTGATCTTGTTGTGGTCAAACCTGAAAGCGATCGACTGTTTCCTGGACTATCTGAGCTTCACTATCTTTGGGTGTTCAGGAGAAATGCTTTGTCCGGCGGCCGAAAGTTAGGCGCTCCGGGCCGAGTCAGCGAGTGGGTTTCGGGCGAGAGTTCGCCAAAGAACAATGGGTGGGTATTGTTAGTACAATATCACCAGACTTTGATGCAAGCACGATATAGTGCCGCTCATCGAAGTGTGACAATTACAGCTTAGCAGTTTTTCATGACTTCAGATTATACAGCGGCTGCTGCGATCTCTCCTTAACTATCGGCTTCCGCTGGGGCCGCGATGATGGTATTGGCTCAATTTGGGGGCGGGCCAAGCAGCTCATTTCAGCGCCAGCCCCGAAGATCACTAGATTGGCCATTTCCGGGGGCCACCCGAAGTTATGACGGCCATTTTTCATTATTCTAATATATATGCCAACTAGTACGCCTTCATTTCCTGATTCTCCTCGTGTGCTTCACAGAGTGTATTCAAGACACCTGAGATAATGCAGGCGCAATCCAGACGTGCTGAACAATTGCGCTATTGATCACTGTAGGGCTCTATTCAGCGTGCGACTAGAGTGTTCTTCAGCCTCTTACTTCCCCCTCTAGACTTACCAGTCCAGGCTCTCGGGCGCCCGTCGGAACCAATCACCTCCCCCGCTGTTGAGATCCGCAAGGTCGCCTCCGCCGCCGCCCCAACCGATCTGACAACCAGCTCTCGCCTCTCGGGCTTGAATTTGGTGGGTTTGGGAGCGCCCGCCTGCAGGTCCCTATCTAGTAGCCATCCATCTGCAGAGGGTCCCAGAGAGACCAGCCAATTGACTGGTTTTCTGTCGGCTCGTGGCTTTCCATGTGAAGACCTACTTGTTCCCCTCTCTCCTCCCTTTGCAACTCGTCCCCTCTCTTGGCGGCGGTCGATATTCTGCTCAAAGAGGTCCACAGACTCTTGACTGATTTGGCCATGGATCTGACTACGAGCTCAAATATGACTTGCTCCTCTCCCTATAGTCTGGCCTCCAGCGAGGAGAGCCCAGAGACTCGGGCCTCCGGCAGCGACGCACAACTTGTGCGGCCAGCGCGAAAGAGACGCCATTCGAATTTCATTCCCAGGAGAAAATCCATTGTGAAGAACTTCATGGAGGGAGAGGAGGCACTCGTCTTGAAGGTCAGTGTCCTGGTCCCCATAATACCCGACTAGGCTTGATGGTCCTAACTTAAATCCAGGTCGATCTGTTCCTTCAAGAACTTGAGCGACGGCTCGAGTTCATCGAAAGCTATGGCGACCTCACAATCGATGCCAGTCTTTCTCGGGCTTACTCGACGCTTGAGGCAGTGCGGACAAGATGCTCACAGGTCTCCGAGGAGGTAATTGGCGAGGGCCGGCGAAGATTGCACATAATGGTAGAGACGATTGAGACTAGATACCAAGATGCGCTAGCTGCTGCCGAGTCTCTCAACGAGAAGACTCGCGTCAGTATTGAGTTACTAGACAGCATGCTCTCCGACTTCGAGGATCGAGCATACAAGCTTCGGGAACGAGGTCTTCAGAATGTTGCCGATGCTGCGGGTATTTTCATGGACGAGGGTCGCCGCGTGGTCGACGAGGGCTTTGAACGTGCCAGAGAAGTGGTCGGAGAGGGTTTCGAGAGAGCTAAGCATGCCGCAGAGTCTCTCGAGGAACATATTCAGAGGGCCGTGCATCGGGCACGAGAGCACGGTCTCATCCGATACGATGACCTACCAATACCATGGAGGATCAACCCACATATCGTCAAGGGATATCGATTCACAGAGTCCTACTCGGGTTGTATCCGGTCTGCATTTGGCATGTCAAACGAGCTTGTCAACATCTGGAGTCATGCTCTTGGGTTGATAATTGTCCTCTCTGTGGCCTTCTACTTCTACCCCACGAGTCTCAATTTCTCGCTCAGCACGAAGGCGGATATTTTCATTGCAGCCGTCTTCTTCTTTGCCGCATGCCAATGCCTTGTCTGCAGCACAATATGGCATACCATGAACGCCGTTGCGGATGTGGATCTGATTTCCATGTTTGCTTGTGTGGATTACACGGGTATTTCGTTATTGGTCGCAGCATCCATCATGACAACAGAGTACACGGCGTTCTACTGCGAGCCCGTTAGCCAGTTGATATACATGAGTACGACGGCGATCCTCGGCATAGGCGGCGTTATGCTCCCTTGGCACCCCCGGTTCAATGGCCAGGACATGGCTTGGGTCCGTGTTGCATTCTACATCGGCCTCGCCGCAACTGGGTTCCTGCCTATTGCACAGCTTTCGTGGTCACGCGGCCTTGAGTTTGTGTGGCAGTTCTACTCGCCCATTGCGAAGTCTCTGTTCGTGTACGTTGCAGGAGCCTTCATCTACGCCAGCAAGGTACCCGAGAGATGGTTCCCTGGCATGTTCGATTACTTTGGCGGTAGTCATAATCTGTGGCATATTGCTGTGCTGGGTGGAATTCTCTTTCACTACACCGCCATGCAGCAGTTCTTCTCCAGCGCCTTTCGCCGAGCCGAGGGGGGCTGCCCGGTGTATTGAACGACTATTCAAAGCCAGCAGACTGGCACTCAGCATGCACCAGCTCTTCACGCAAAACAATATCCGCGACACGAATAGTATAAAGGGGTATATTACCGCAGATTCGCGGGTCATTAGATACGTGTTTCCCGCGCCCGGGATTATTCACCGGCTTGCAATCTTGCTGCCGGTCATTAGTTGCTCAATATCCAGAGCTTCTAAATAATGACTTCGATGTGCTTAATCCGAAAAGAGCCACCCAAACGCCAATTCCATGATCTGTTTAGCAGGAGGACATGAACAATGCCACTGCTATTATACCAATACTTGCCCACATCAGGGTTCGCTGCTCCGTCCTAGCTACAGACACTTGCACGACGCTCGGGATATATGTCGCGCTGACATTTGCGCTGATATTGCTTGAGGGGCCTGGTCCAGTCGCCAGGGGAATTGTCACGGTCGTCTGCGTTACAGGAAACAGTGTGATCTGCGAGACTTCCGTGATCACCGCGGTCTCTGTTTGCGTCGCTGGAAACAGGGTGACCTCGGATGTGCCCCCGGTCGCAAGCGCGGGTTCTGCGGTTGCTTCTGGTATCAAGGTGCCCGATCCTGTCAAGAAAGGTCTCACCGAAAGAGCTCCCGCAATCGAAGAAACAGGTAATGCAAAACCGGCATTGTCTGCACAAGTTTCATCGGTCTCGCTCTGTCATATCGATTAGCAGACGGCCTTCTCTCAAGTTCAAGTGCAGAGAATACGTACATCGAGGCAGCAGAACCCTGCCACAGGAGCGCAGTGGGTTCCTACGTCGCAGTATCCGTTGTCGAGTGTGCAACATGTCTAGCTACCGTTAGCGATATTGCTCAAGAAGAGTGGAATACCCAAGAGACGAGGACCTACCTGTCCAATGCTTGGATTATAGCAAAACGTGCTCGAACTGTTTCCACAAGGAATCGAACCAACACCATATGTCTCCTCGCAGGTCAGAAGCGCCCGCTTGGACCCCTTGAAGGAAACCTTTGCATGGCGGGTCAAGTCTGTTGCTGCAGCTTGCACTACGCAGGCGGCCAGAAAGAAAAAGAGTGATTTTTGCATGATTGCGGTATAGATCTCGCTCAAGGGGTAATATGCTCGTCAAAGTCAAAGAGCTAGTGAGTGAAGGGGGTTGTCTGTCTGCGATAGTTGTGTCGCAAGGAGTCTGAAAGAGGGTCTCAACACCTCTTATACTGTAGATGTCGTCAACCCTTCCTTCGAGGAAGGAATGTATATAGCTACTATTGTGTAGCGTCCATGGATAGAAAAAATCCGTATAAAGAATGTGGTTCCAAACGATTGAGTCTCGGGTAGTCCTGGTGTGGTTCACCTACTGCGTACGATGTGTGAGACAGCCCGGTCTGCAAGCCATGGCCTACCCAGGACCCTGATTTCTTCAGATGGGCTGAGCGCCAGGCCGGGGCTAGGGGACTTATATTGGTATTGGGCTTTGCATGTCTCTCTATCTATCCTGTGTCGTACCTACATCATCTCGTCGACGGGATATATCAACCCTACACAATATGGCTGTCTACATGTTGTCCTCGGTATTGCATGGACACCATCATCCCGCCGCAGGTGTAGGACAAATACGAGGGTCGCATGTTCCTGGAAATTGAGCCGTGCAATCTGTTGGCCCATTTCGACAGCGGCAGAGGACTGAGTCGCGGCTAATATCCCGCTGACGATTTTGGGCCAGCGGCGGTCGGACGGGGATGACGCAGTGTGTTTCCGTTGTTAGAACTGCTGGCTGTGGAAAGGGGAAAGGGATTGGCTATCATTGGATCTGGCATGCTTCCGAGTCGGCCCATGCAGATGTGCTGTAGATTCGAGATCGCAGATCTAGGGTTGCATTGCATTTTTTAGAGCTCTTTCTAACAATCCCTGAATACCTACAACGTGGTCATGCAGGTGAGGCAATGATCTTTTTCATCCCTTCATCTTGTGGCCTATTTTTCTTTGCTGCTGTGGTGCTGGTTTTGAGGTTCTTCAAAGGGATATGTCATCTCATTTGGTGTCAAGGGCGGCTATTGTAGGCCATCTATTGACCGCTCGATTCCTACCGGGTGGCCAAGGGATTCACCTAACGCAGATGTGCACAAACAAATGCTTAAATTGATTTTCCATATTACTATCTACTAAATCCCTTGCTGTTGCTCAGGCTCTTCAAGCTGTCAAGCTTGGATGGCCTTATTACGCTCAGAATTCCAGCACTGCGGCTAAATATAACCATGGCCTGAGCCGCGCTTTGCCCTGATCTGCTCCGTGTCTTTGTCTTGGCATCAAGCCAGGACAGCAGCGACCTAAGTCTGGTATAAGGCGAGTATCTCAAGTGGTTACCATTAGACTTGCCCATCCTAATTGCCTTGCGGTTGTAGGGACTCAAGATGAAGCTTCTCTTGCTTTTCTCCGTCATCTGGCCTCTTGACAAGCCTTTCAGAGCGTCTTGTACCTTGAATTCTGTAATTCGTCAACCAGCTTTCTTTGATAAAGAAATTCTCGACCCATATTCTTCTAATCGTCAGAAAGCTCAATGGCTTGCCTCAAAATGTAGGGTTTTGTAGTGCTCCCTGGTTATCAAACAAGACTAGTGGCTGAAGCAAGGAGTTCACTGGGCAGGAATGCATTGCCCGAGGTGCCAAGTCTGTCGATTTGTTTTACCTCTAGCAAAATACATCGCCTTCTTGCTTTTTGCTGTTCTTTCTATCACAAAGAAGTTGGAGCTTCTAATTTACGGCGAACGGTTCAAAGTCCGCAAGCACCACATCCTCGACGAAACTCGGAAGTCTCTGGTTGTAAAGCTGATACAGCGGCAGTCGGGGGCTCCTCTTCATAAGTAGTCATGATACCAGATCATTTTGCGTGCGACACAATTTCCTGGTATATATCGTCAGGAATCATTGTAAGCATATAAACCGTTATGTTCTTGATCTTCTCTGCGTTTAGGGGAGGGAAATTTCGAAGGTTAGGGCTATCAGGGGTTAGCATCAGACTTGTAAAGCGGACACAGAATAAAAGGACTACCTTGGAGATGCCAGTATCGTGTTACGATGCAGGTATAGCTGGGCCGCAACGCAGACAATGTTTAAATGGGGGCCATAGGCGAAGAGGAAGTCCCACAGCTTGAGCAGTTCGGGTAAGGGAGGTGTGCAGGCAGAAAGCGTCAGGATGGACGAAAAGGCGTAGATCTTAGCAGTCAGGCCCTTTGATGTTAAGTACAAACTCAACTTGGGGTCGACAATGGACAAGACCTTGTCGACCAGTGCGACGCCTTTATGGACGCCATCCATGGCTCCTCGGATGTAGCCGGGGCATTCCTTCGTCAATAGCCGGTGAACTCCAACGAAAGCCTCCACCTCACTTCGTGCTGAGTAAAGGAAGGGGCCTGCCAGTACGTTCATTCCCTGAACATATAGCCCGGGCTCCGAAACCATGCTGCTCTCCGAGCCCTCGGTTGTAAGCGTCAACGCTCGAGCTCGGTTTTTGGCTGCAGGGCTCGATGCTTGTGACTGAAGATCGCTTCCCTTAGTCGGTGTCTCTTGTTGCGACAGGGAGGGCCTGCTGCTGAGCGGTCTCGCGTCGAAGAGCTTCCAGGCGACGGCATTAAGTAGACGGATCAAGCTGGCCTCACTCACTCGGCGGCGGAACAGAGGGTCAGTGGATAGCGTTCGGAAGGTGTCGTTGCGAATCTTGGAATAAGCAGGTGATGCGCCACGGTGTATCAGTGCGAGGTAATCGTCGGTATTCATGACAGGAGCATCAAGCATGACAAGCCAAACGTATATGCGGAGGTTCGACTGCCAACAAGTTAGTGATTGTGGTCAATGAGTATGCTCTTCACTGGCGCCTCACCATGCCATCGCTATCGCTCTTAATCCCATCGCTCAAAACATGATGCCGCAAACTGCCCAAAGCGCTCTCCCAGTCCCCATCAGGCGGTCCATCTCGAAATAACCTATCGAGGCCCAAGCCATCTGATGCGGCTGACCGCCGACTCAAGGTCGGGTGACCGTTCGGGGCTAAATCACCCATTGGCTGCAGTAGATTGGCGTCGCTATTTGCACGTGCCCGTTGTGGTGATCGGTTGACGCTGACATTCCTGCCCTTCCGCGTGGGAGAGATTCCACGTTGCTGTTGCTGCTGCTGTTGGAAGCGCTGTTGAGAGATGAGCGAGGGCTGGTTCGCAGCCTTAGCTCCGAGATTATGGGCAGACTGCAGCTTTCTCAAAGCTCGATGTGTCCCTGGCGATGGCGGTGGCTGCAGTTGTGTCGCTGCCAGTTGCGGCAGTGAAGGTATCATCGTCTCTTTCACGGGGCTAGGCATTGCTAGCAGGCACTCTGTGATTAGAGAATGAAGAGAGGAGCAATTGTTAACCGGAGCAAAAGAGTCAAAGCTTTCTTCGACTAGGTTTACGCATCAAGCATGCTGCAGCAGACTCTTTCATGGTTTGAGCTTCATCAATGTCAGAAGCGATCAGTTTACTCTGTTGCAAATGGCACAAGCGGGGAGGCTGGTGCTTGGCTGGGCGAAGTCACACAGCACCGCGTTTTTTCGCGGGGTCGCGTTTAGTGCTTAGAGCTCTAACAAGCAGCCGGCTAAGTTAAACGTATTTTGGGTGCAGAGAGGAATCTCCGTACAACAGCACAGGTTTTACAAAGCTGAATCAGCCGTGACACTTTCACTTGCAACTACCTCGGAGCCTTTCAACTTACAACGAGAACCAGAAAAGCTCCGTTACAGCATTTCGACAGGGTTCCTGGAGGCAGGCAGACCGACCAGGCGGTCTCGACCTTTTCTTTCCAGATCCATGCTCTCCAGCGCTGTCCAGCCAAGCCGATAAGATAAGGCCCTCACAATCTCTCGGCCTGGTGTTGATCCGTTCCGGGCGATCACGTCAGCCTCGGCTTGCTGCCCCGCCGTGACCTCAGCAAGTCGCCGCAGCACTCAATTTTTCTCAGAATTGCCCGACCGAGTCAAAACAGTCCGCTTTGAGAAGGATGACGTGCTCCAGGTCCAGACACATTGAGCTGAGCTAAGCAGCTACAGTTTTACAGCGATATCGTCACATTGGAAGGTGTCAAGGCACGCATCCAGTCCCGTTCAATGCATTATCTGATGGCATTTGTCCACGTTTATCAATTGAAAAGGCCTTCGACCAGCCTCAGAAGAGATTGCTGGAATCGAGGCTTGAGCTCCCAAGACACGGCAAGGAGAAGCCCGAAAGCTTGAACAAGTCAAGAAAAGCTTCAACACGCCTCAATGCACGCGAGGTCTTTCACCAGCTGTTTTCCCGGCTTTGGGCTGGCATCCACGCATTGAGCTCGACGAGAGATATTGCAGCTCGATGGCGACAACACCTCGAACCATTGCACCATAGCCCCTCCATGCTAATCAAGGCCTGTGATTCGCTGCCTCGACAGCCATCCCAAGTCGGGAGGGCTACGATCCCTGTACGGCCCCATACGCCTCTACGTACCGCCGTCTTGGCTTGGATTGTACCTCTTACGCCGCGTCAACTGCGCGGAGAAATGGGAATCATAGATCAAGTGAAAATGAAATTCTCTACTAGTAGCGAAGCTCGGGGCAGTCAGCTCTGTATTCAGCAAACTGCTCGCCGTATCGATAGCTTGTCAATAGCAGGATTGGAAAGGCTGGTCACATTGGACCATCACCTGGGAAGCTGACAACTAATCCTAGAAGAGGATTTCTACAGATGTTACACATGTATTCCAACGTATGTAATGGGGTCCTCAGTGGTGATGATCATCTCCCACAGGGCATGCATCTAATATGCCGTATAGCTTTGGCGAGTGCCCACATGCGGTTACGTTCTCATCTCTTAATCATCGCATCTGTCGGGCCATTCCGTGGTTATCGTAAGCTCAATGGGGCATCGGTCCGCAATTATACATGTTCAACGTCACTCCGGCGATTCTTTCCTATGGTTCAACGAGACCCCATTCTAGTCCAAGGTTCTAGAGTCCGTTGTTGAACTCAATTACGTGCTCCACGTTTTTTTTCTGCAAAAAAAAGAGTCGTTGCCGCTACTAAGCTTTAGGTGGCTAGGTCCCAATCACGCAATCCCGCGCCTCAAGCTATCCGGTGGATTCGGCGCCTCGTAGCTGCACCCAGGCCCCAGAGGACCCCTTACACTGAGAGATTCATATAGATATACTTACATACATCGCAAAAGCTACACGACTCTTCATCTCACCAGCCTTGGGCAACAAGGGACCTTCCGCAATTCTTCCAATCTCTTTCACCATCTGAGATCCCTGCCTGCCACACACCGCGGAACGAGCGCCTGCAGTCGAACACGGCTCACCCAGCCTGTTAGATCACATTGCGTTGCAGTCTCGCTTCTCATTGCGATCTTCTTGGTTACAGCTACTCCAAGCCTTCTCCCGTGCTCATCGTGTCTTCACGGGGTGATCTGGCCATCGGGGGCGTTCAATAGCTCGACTCACCACAGTCGGCGATCATCAACTTGCTCAGAAGCATCTTGCCTCATCCACAACCTGTGTCACTTCCCCACGCTACCGAGGCGCTTGTTGTTCAATAGCGATACAACTTTGCAATTTGCTCAACCAGCCGTGAGACCCAAGTACAAGCTACCTGCTGCGTACCGCAGAACCGTGTGTCCGCTGTCACTTATTGAGCCTTGCGACCCTAGTTGCATGTTCCTCTCACATTCCTAAAATCGACCATCCGCCCACCTCCCCTGTCTTGCTGGAACAATTCACAGCAAGAGCAGTCCCTCCTCGCGGCCAAACTAGCCCGATTCGTCGACATATCCATTTCATTATCTCATCCTGACTTGCTTTTTAAAGAGCTGAGTGAGGGTATAGGTGGGTGTTGCAGACGCGGTCCATCCAAGATCCCGCTCTGGGCCCCCCTGCTTCCTTCTCTGCGGGGGTATACCGTGGACCTGGGATTTGAGAGGTAGCACGGCTGTCCCACGAATATAAAGCTCGGCATCACGCAGCCAAGCTTAAGTGGCATCCAGTCTCCCGGATCTATTCCTTCTGGTCACCTTCAGCTCCCATAGTGGCCTTGGCCTCCGCTCGACTTCGCCGTTCCCCCATACTTGGCAATCAAGGAACGTCGCCACACCAAGATGTCGAACACGCGCACCAAGATTGGCCATGGCTTGGCCAAATTCTTGAGAATCAAGCTTCAGGACCCTGAGCCGTACAGAGATGAGGTGACACGGGGCGAGTCTGTATTCTCCGTCAGCTCCACTGATACGTTCGTCGAGCAACCCCCATCGACACTTGACTTGATCTCGGAGGTTGTGCCTACCAGACATCAAGTCCTGGAATACATCAAATCTCTATTCCCTTTCCTCCACTGGATTACGAAGTATAACCTGCAATGGCTCATCGGAGACCTCGTTGCAGGTATCACTATTGGTGCAGTAGTTGTCCCTCAGGGCATGGCCTACGCCCTACTCGCCAATCTTGATCCTCAGTTCGGTCTTTACTCTTCATTCATGGGAGTCTTGATCTACTGGTTCTTTGCGACATCTAAAGACATCACCATTGGCGTAAGTTTTTCGATACACCCCCTTAGTATGCCCAGGCTGATTTTTGTAGCCCGTCGCTGTTATGTCCACCGTCACTGGAACCGTCGTCGCCGACGTCTCTGAGAAGATCCCAGACTTGGCACCACATTTCATCGCCTCTGGATTAGCCATCCTCGCCGGTTCTATCGTGCTTTTCATTGGCTTAATCCGACTTGGATGGATTGTTGATCTGATCTCTCTCACTGCGCTCTCTGCTTTCATGACTGGATCTGCCCTCAGCATCGCGGTCGGTCAAGTCCCTACAATGATGGGAATAAGCTTCCCGAAGCCATACACCACACGAGACCCGACCTACGAAGTTATCATTCACACCCTCAAGTACTTGCCCAGAACGAAACTGGATGCTGCCATGGGTCTGACGGCTCTGGCAATGCTGTACTTAATTCGAGCTGGATGCAGTTATGGCGCGAAGCGATTCCCCAAGCACCAGAGACTCATGTTCTTCCTCTCCACGCTCAGAACTGTATTCGTCATTCTCTTGTACACCATGATCAGTTGGCTGGTGAACATGCATCACCGATCCAAGCCTAAATTCAAGATTCTTGGAAAGGTGCCTCGTGGTATGTTCCGTTCTTGGTTTGTGCTGGAAGCAACGGCAAACTAATTCGTCTAGGTTTCCAAAATGCGGCTGTGCCCGTCATGAACAAGCAGCTTGCGACTGAACTCGTTTCCCATCTGCCTGCTTCTGTCATCGTTCTGCTTATCGAGCACATTGCAATTTCGAAATCTTTCGGACGAGTGAACAACTACACGATTAACCCTTCTCAGGAGATGGTTGCCATTGGTGTTACGAATCTTCTCGCGCCGTTC